CTACCAATCTTTGTAACTAATATACATCTTTGGCTACTGCTTGAGGTTCCCAGCACACAAAAAGGGGGTATGATTTTCGACCGGCCGGCAGATAGTCATATAAACCCCTCCATTCGATTTTGGTGTCGAATTTCGAGTCGAATTTCACGTCGATTTTCTTTCGAGGCTGCACATGACAGCGGATGAAAGTGCGGGGAAAGCCGCGCGGACCCTGAGACGAGGTCCGCAACAAGCAAGCTCATCAGACTGCGCATCAAACGCACGAAGCAACCCCATCATTCCACCACGACTCGCGTAGCCAACGCGACAGCAAACGCCTCTGCAATGAGCAGTAGCGTGCGCTACGATGGACAGTCCCGGTGGCAGTGCCTCGTTGGTCCAAGAAGACGGCAGTCGCAAGAAGCCGCACCGTGCGCGAGTGGCATGCACACGGTGTAGATCGCAAAAGCTGCGGTGTGATGGCCTCATCCCATGCTCTCGCTGCATCCGTGCCAACGTGCCATGCGCCGATCCTCTCGAACGCACGCGGCGGCGTCTCTCTTCACGCGATGAGCATGCACATACCCTCCTTCGACTAAGCTCGGCAACAGCTCAGACCAAGCCTGCCCATGGACAGATCTCACCGGTTCCAGAGTCGAACGGCCGGGAAGTGCCCATCGATCCACGCTTTGTGCGGCGGCTGCAAGCAGATCTAAAGGGTGTCGTCAGTCGCTTGGAAGCGGTCGAAGCGAGAGTGGGCATTGCGTTCAATGCAGATCCGCTCTCAGCTGGTGGGGATCATGATCAGCCACCTTTGCGGTCCGCAGCCATGCACGAGAGCGTCAGAGCGCCGTTTACCGACATGATGGAGAAGGGCGCCGACGAGTCCAACCTGCCGTCGCGCGGCTCGAGTCCTGAACTTGTACAGCCATACCAAAGCGCAACGGTGAATGGCAATGATCCACGACAGCCCGCCGACTCGGGCATTGAAGATCGTTCGGAACTCGACACCGTGCGAATCGAGCTTGCTCGTGTTCAGCGCGCCTCGGAGAAGGCACCCGCATCAGCGTATCTGGCAGCGGATCTACGGGCAGCGGACCCGATATCGAGAGGCTTGATCAGCAACGACCTTGCAGCATGGCTTCTCGATTGGTTTCTGGAGCACTGTCATCCTTTCCTCCCCGTCCTGGACGCCGGGGCCAGCAACAAGATTGCTCGGATGCGAGAAGAATCTCCCTTTTTGCTCACGGTGATCCTTGCGATCGGTCTGCGATTCGACGCTCTGCGCACCTGCCGCCTCGCCGAAGCAGGCGGCACGACCGGATTATCGGACAGTCTCACCCAGATGACGGAAGTTCTGCTGGGACAGACGCTGCTGCGATCCCGCTTCCGTCTAAGCGATGTTCAGGCAGTTCTGTTTCTCCATGCCTGGGGCTTACGTCCCATCGGTCAAGGCTCGGACCCGTGGATTCTGTCCGGCCATGCCTTTCGACTGGCCAAGCGCCTTGGCGTCGAGAAGACGGTCACTTCTTCGCACAGTTTCGGAAGGGACTTCCTTTCCTCGCGGCGGACCTGGCTGCTGTTGTGCGCCTCGGATTGCTTCCCCTCGCTTGGATTCGGCCGCCCGTTCTCGCCCAAGGAGAACTTGGATCTTTGCGCCCACATCATTGCGAGTCTGAAACAGGACCACCTTTTCAAAGGCATCGACATTGGACCCGACGCTTTCGTGGCTGCGCAGGGCGAGCTTGCCCAGATCTCGCGGAGGTTGCTGGATTGGGTTGCGGATGCCTCGTCTCAGCTCAATTTCCGCAGCAACAAGACGCATGAGGCGGACGATAGTTCATGGATCGATGTAGACTCGATATGGACGCGGTACCAGGAACTCAGCCAAAGCCTTCAGATGTGCGAAGCACAGTGGGACGAGGGCCTGCAATCGCCCGTCGCTAACGCCAGTGCTGCTCTGTACCGATGGCATGTACGCCTGTGCCTGCCAAGTTTCGCCTTACGCCTCAACGACATAGCGGATCGCACCTCTATCGCAAGATCACGGGCTCAAGACCTCGTCAGCGGGCGGGAGACAGGCTCGAAAGCTTCGCGATTCCGCTCCATCTACCATCAAGCCATTTTGCGATCTTCGGAAGCCATTGTCCGGCTGCACGCGCAAGATGAAGAGGGAATGCTGACCTACGTGCCCGACTATCTGGTGATGGCGTTGGCGCAAGCATGTTCGGCTCGAATCGGACTTCTTGAGAGCGGACTCGGTCCCGACAAATCGCAAAGGCGGAGAGCCGCTGGCGGTGAGCGCGGCACAGGAAGGCAAACAGGAGGAGAGAAGCGGGAAACGGAGCTTGTTGCTTCTGCCCTGGCCTCCTTGGATAGACTGGCAACGCAAGGTGTGTCGTTGGCTCGGTATCTGTCGGCCAAGGTGGTTGACGCAGCCAAGAAGGCTCGATTGGCCATCCCTCAACGGAGCGACTTCCGGCATCGGAAGGCCGCTGCCACTGAAGTCGAAGCGACAAAGCCTGCGAAGCGGCCGAGAAGGAATGCGCGACCTTGCGCGGGGGAGCGAGGTGCCGATTCGGGATCGGTCAACAATGCGATCATCAACGACGGGCCCAGCTGGGCAGCGGCAGGCGAGACATCGGGTCAACACATGGACCCGTACATCAGTCCGGCGGCGAGCAGTCTGCAGGACCTTTTGGAGGTCCGGTGGCCCGAGGCGGACGACTTGGACCTCTGGTTCGACGCTGACGATCCTCTGCGACTTTTGTTTGGCGAAAACGCCGACCTGCTTGCTCCGGGAGCGTTTGATCTCAACATGGATCTGGTTGCATCCGATTCATGAAATGCAGCACAAAACACATTGCATCACGCATGTCTGCTAGTCGGGACTGTGTCAGAAGAGAGGCTCTCGATTGCAAGTACTGGTCCATCTTAAGAGGCATCGAGGCGAGTAACTGTGATGATGACGACGCGCGAGAGTGCAGTGACGGAGAGAGCTATGTTGATTTGGCAAGCTCTTGCTCGACTTGCATGAGACGATGGAAGGCGGTGACTGCTTGCTGCACGGTTTCCTTGGGCGATGGCTGCAGGGGTGCGCGCGGAAGGCCGCCATACCCGTGGAAAGAGTCTACGAGTGCCTTGTGCATGGGTACGCCACCTTTACCGAGCTCCCACTCTGCGAGCGAGACGATGTGCTGAAGCTCGGTAGCTTCTGGATGACGACCTTGATCGAAGAGGCGTTGGAGCTGAACGACGGCTCTAGGTGCAATGTTTCCCATGCCGGTAATGGTGCCGTGTGCGCCTACCGCCAAGGCGCCGATCAAGTAGTCGCTTGCGCCGCCGAGGACAAAAAAGTGGACGCCATCGCCGGCGGCTGCAGGCAAGGCGCAGTTCCTGGCCATCTTGCCGATGTCGTGATCGGTGTGCTTAACGCCGCGGATACGGGGATGGTGCGAGAGCTTGCGGGTGACATCGGAGCTCAGGTTGATGCCGGAGCAGACGCCGGGATAGGAGTAGATGAGGATGGGGATGGGCGAGGAATCGGCGATGGCCGTGTAGAAGTCGAGCGCTGCAGGAGCGCCAAGCTGGTTGGGGTAGTACGAAGAGGGAAGGACCAAAGCGTGGGAGGCACCAGCACTTGCCATTGCCGCGAGGCTTGCGCGGGCAGTGACGACCGAGTGGCCACCTGCTCCGGCGATGAGGGGCATGTCAGAGCATCCGCAAGCATTCATGGCTTTCCGTGTCGAGCGAACGAGCTGTTGGGGGACGGCACAGCGAGGAACTGAACAGACTCAGTATGCAGATCACGTCTGTGTGCAGCTTGCGACGAATAGACTCACGGTGACCTTCTCGTCGTCGGTGAGCGAGACCGCCTCGCCGGTGGATCCGAGAGCTACGATGCCTGCAACGCCGCTGGTGGCGACGTAGGCGATGTGCTTTTCGAAAGCCTCGAGGTCGAGGACGGCTCCATGCTCGCCCGTGAAAAAGGTGAGGACGGGAACGTAGATTCCCCTCTTGAGCGTCTTGGTTTCGGGCAGCGCCTCGACGCTAGAAACAACTTCCAAAGCGACCATGGTTGAGGGAGTGCGGCGAGCCGAGTTGCCTTTGATGATCCTGTCAATGGTAATGATTGAAAGTTGGACAGCGGACGAGATCCGCAGACGTCTGGAGTGATTATAAAGGGTGCGATCGTGTGTGACGGTCGCATGGAACGAGTCGGATAGAAGGACCGTGGCTTGGTGAGCATCGGTCCGAGCCGACAAGGCGCGCGCCGGCACAGGATGTCATGTGGCACAGTGGCCATGATGGCAGAGCACGGTCTGTGGACCCTGGAAATGTGGGAGAGAGCGTCGACTCAGCGAGGGAGTGGCAAGTGGGGCGTCAACGGCGAATTGCTCGGCCCGGTCGAGTGTCGGTAGAATCGGAACAGACCGAACGACTGCCATCGGTTCGAACCGATTTTCGGCCTTGCGTTCGGCCCCTCCCGATGCTCTGTGGCGTGGCGAATTCGGTTCCTTCCGAAGCCATCCCAGTTGGCCGACGGAGCGGGAAAGCGGCGCGGCGAGCGGCTACGCAGCGACACCCACGCCAAACCCCACGCCGAAACCCCACGTTTGGAGGCCCGTCGGACCCCACGACGGACCCCGCGTTGCTCGTGCATGTCAATACCCCGCAATGCTCGGAAGCGTCGCTCATCGACATAACTCCATCTAGCCAACTGTGCTCACATGATGTCTGACGGTACCTTACAGGACACACCCATCCTTTGAAGCACATGCAGACCATTTCGGGCACCTGAGCTGCCAACCTCCTTTGCCACGAGAACGCTCGCCGTGTCGCCCCCTCTCGCTGTATAAATCCAGCTGGTCCCAGACGCTGTCTTGCATCCCTGCCCTTCTTCCCCAAAAGAAAGCTCACTGGACCATTTGGCAGCACGGGATCACCTCACTGTGTGCGTCGCTCCCCTGTCTCTCCCCAAGGCCACTTGCATCGTGACAAAAGTTACTACCTCGGTCACCATGCGGAACTTTTTCAGACAACACGACACCTCGCCCTACCCGGCTCCTCCCGAGGTCTACAACAAGAGGATCTGGATCATGATGCTCTCGGCGTCCATGAGCGCGGGCATGTTCGGGTACGACTCGAGCTTCTTGGGCGGCACCCTCTCTTTGCCATCTTTTAAGCATACCTTTGGCCTCTCCGACTCGCTCGGTGCCTTGAAGCTCGCAGCCCTCTCGAGCCACATCGTTTCCACCTTCCAGGCTGGCTGCTTCTTCGGGTCCCTTTCCACTTATCCCCTCGTGGAGCGCTTCGGCATGCGCTACTGCTTCTTCCTCGCATCCTTCCTCTTTGTCCTCGGTTCCATCCTCCAGACCGTCAGCACCGGTCAGCTCGCCATGATCTACGCCGGCAGGGCGCTCACCGGCCTCGCCATCGGCAACGCCTACCTGCTCGGCCCGGCATACGTGTCGCTCAACTCGCCTCCCGCGATCCGCGGAAAGATGGTTGGCCTCCTCGAGTGCGTCTACCAGGCCTTCCAAGTCACTGGCTTCTGGATCAACTATGGCGTCAACAAGCACGTCAGCCCCCACTCCAACACCCAGTGGAGGATCCCCGTCGCATTCCAAATCCTGCCAGGCACCCTGCTCGCCGTACTCATGTTCTTCCAGCCCGAAGCTCCACGCTGGCTCATCAACAAGGGTCGAGAAGAGGAGGGCATCCGCAACCTCTGCTACCTTCGCAATCTGCCCCAAGATCATCCCTACATCCAATTTGAGATTCAGCAGATCAAGGACCAGATCCAATCCGAGCATGCCACAGGTCACAAGGACTCGTTCGCCAGCAAGCTCGGCGAGGCGTTCGGCGCCAACAACCGCTCGAGACTCTTGCTCGGCTTCGCCGTCATGCTCCTTCAGAACTTTTCGGGCATCAACGCTTTGAACTACTACAGCGCCACGCTCATCCGCAACGTCGGCTTCAAGGGAACCTCGGTCTCGCTCCTAGCCACAGGCGTGTATGGATTGGAAAAGGCCTTTGTCACGCTCATCTTCATGTCCTTCTTCGTAGATACGCTTGGCAGGAGAAAGGCGCTGCTCATCGGATCTCTCGGCGCCGCATCGGGCATGCTCTATCTCGGCATCTACACAAACGTCTCCCACAGCTTCACCAAGACGCCTCCGCGCGATGCAGGCTCCTCCATGGCCCTTGCCGCCATCTACTGGTACACGTTCTGGTACGCCATGTCGTGGAACGGAATCCCATTCATGTTCTGCGCAGAAGTCTTCCCCGCAAGGATCCGCATGCTCTGCATGACGATGACCACCTGCATGCAGTGGTTGGCGCAGTTCATCATTGTCTACTCGCTCCCCTACATGGTCGTCAGCATCAAAGGCTACGTCTTCATCTTCTTTGCGGCCTGGACCACCTTCTCCTTCTTCTTTACACTCTTCCTCATGCCAGAGACCAAGGGTGTGCAACTCGAAGACATGGACATCCTCTTCAACATCAAGGGTACCGCCTTCCGCAAGGACCGCGAATTCAAACGCGTCGTAGCCGAGAGGGCCCAAGATACGCTCAACGGCCAAACGGCGGACGTGCAGGCGTTTCACGTCGCGACTAAGGACCAAGACGTAGAGTCCAACGCTTCCCTGCAGGACAAGCACGATGCCGGGCATTTTGGTGCTTCGCTCTCTACACGCGATGCCTAGGTTACCGTCGAGTCGAGTGTTCGTCAACGACTCCAGATGTAGAACTGATATCCATTCTGCCGCTAGTCATGGGAACGTTCGTCTGCTTTCATTGTTTCGACCTGCGTGGAAGCGAAGATGCGAATTCTCATATGAGCTTACCGAGCTGAAAGCGATCTGCCACAAGGGCGATTCTGCACTGCGCTTCCTTGCACCGCTCCTTCAGCCGTGGGCAAAGTGATGCGAGCCATCGAGGTAGGGCGACCGCTGCGGAGGTTCCATGCTGTCTCGCATCTTGCCCATTGTTTGTTTGTATGCCTGTCCGGCTGGTGCAGAGGTTTCATCTCGAGCAGAGGGTCATCGCGCCGAGAGCATCGCAGGCGGGAGGGGGTTCTAGGAACGCTAAAATCATTGTGTCTCACTGCACGTAAGGCTCGGCAATTCGCTTTCCCGACCGGAATCCCGTCGTAAAGTCTTGCACGCATGCAATACAACAACAGATTAGATCTGTCTGTAATGCTGCCACGCAGCTTCGCAAACAAACGCCCCGCCTAACCAATTTGTTCCACAAGTACATTCTCTCGGCTCCCCGTCAAGCCCTCTACAGTAAGTCGAGTACTGCAAGCTTCAGTATCCGGTCTCAGGGTCTGTCGGCTACAGTAGCATGATGCTCTCCCGGTCGGTTAGCCCAAGCGAAGCCTTGCTCCTGAGTTTTCTTCCCAACTGCATGCATGTCTCAGATGCAAATCGCTGCGCACCCGTCCAGCCCATGTTCTGGACACTCATCTCGTATAGAGCTCTGCCTGCCGCTCACAAGGCTCTGACACCCCCAGTACCTTGAATCTATGAAGCCCGTTCGCTTTTGTTCTGTCCGCGGCGAGGCACTCGGCTGCTCATCGGAACACCGCGTGATACCACCATCCTCGATCCGAATTTCCGGGCCTGCATGCAATCTCTGGATCTGCGTACGGCCGCCCTATCGGATGAACGAAGCACTCACGGACTGGACTCGTAGGGCAAGGCTATCATGCGAGCGCCGACGGAATGGCGGAACAGCCCTCTCCCCACGCTGGCTGAAATTGTCCCTCTGCGTTTATGCTCTAAGGCACATTCATGCTCTTCCGCCTGGTTCTGGGCTCTAGCGATGCTCCTTGACAGGACCGGTGCGCACTGGCGGGCAGCAATCGTCCCTCTCGACATCCGGTCGCCAAAGACCACATAAGTATGAGCAGACTTGATTTCGAGGTCGCAATCCCTTCCCATCGATTGGTTCGTTCTCCACCAGCCTCGTCCCTCCACACTACCTTGCAAATCGACAGCCGCACGTCCAATGCGGCCGTTTTCAGCCACATCTCGCGCTATGAGTGCGTACCTTGGCGCGTGTGCGCTGATCGCTACGTTTGCCAGTAAGGTCGTCGCAGTACCTGCACCTGCAGTCGGAGTTGCGCCCGCAAATGGCCAGCCTGTCACAGGCGGCTGCCCCAGCGGCGAGCAGTCGTACGTCTTCAACAACGTCGTCTACAGCATCTGCCCGAACACCGACTTCAACGTCGACAACATCCTCGACACCAAGGCTGCCTCTCCTCAGGCATGCGCCGAAACTTGCAACAAGACCCCGAACTGCAAGTACGTCGTGTACGAGCCCAACGGCGGCTGCCACGTGAAAGCTTCGTCGGCGAATCCCAACTGGAAGGTCAGCAACTATTACTCGACCATCACGGCCGTATATCAGGTGCAGCAAGGTCAGCAGATCACCGGAAGCTGCCCCTTCAACCAGACCACCCTTCTCGGCAAGAACAATGCCGTTTGGGGCATCTGCCCTCAGTCCGACTATAACGTTGACAATGCCAACACCATCAAGGCCGCAAGCCAAGCCGCCTGTGCCGATGCATGCACAAGTACGCAGGGTTGCAAGTACACCGTTTGGGAGCCCACTGGATATTGTCATCTCAAGGTTCAGACCAACAACCCGAACTGGAAGGCCGACAACTACTACACAACCATGGCCTCGCTCTACACCCTGAACAACGGCCAGCAGCTTACCAACGGCTGTTTGGGTGGTCAGAAGCAGGTGACAACGTCGAATGGCGCCACCTTCACCGTGTGCCCCTGGGCCGACTTCAATGTGGACAATGTAGCCAACAAGCAAGTCTACGATGACAAGAGCTGCGCCGAATACTGCTCTCAGACGCAAGGATGCAAGTACGCTGTGTACGAACCGCCTACCGGCGCGTGCTTCCTCAAAGGCTCCCCGGCCTCTCCGAACATGAAACAGAGCAACTACTACACTGCTGTCTACGCCAGCAGCGCTTCCACCGGGGGCTCCTCTGGATCCGGTGGCTCGGGAGGCAATCCCAACTACCAGCCAACCAACGGCGCTGCGATTACTGGCAACTGCCCTAACGCTGGCTCCACCTACACTTCGAAGAACAACGTGGCGTTCAACGTATGCCCGCAGTCTGACTACCACGTCAACAATTTGCAGTGGGTGGCTCAGCCAGACAGGAACTCGTGCATCGAGTGGTGTAGTCAGACCGCTGGCTGCTTTTACGGTGTATGGGACCCTGCTGCCAAGATGTGCAACTCGAAAGGCGCTCCTTACCAGCCTACCTGGCAGCAGAATGGCGCATACGACTCTTTCGTCATGACCGATGCTTCCTACTCTGCTCCGAACACTGTAGCCAAGAATGGCCTGTGGAGCAAGGTCATCTCGCTCGACCTCATCCCTGTAGCGGCGTACATGATCCCAGCTTACCCCGTGGTCAGCAAGTTCTTCGCTTTCGCCTCCTGGAGCGGATACACCTTTGGCGGTGCCGCACAGCACCAGACCGCGTACATGAGCTGGGACCTCAATGCCAACACGCAGACCGAGTTCGTCGTTGCCAACACCCAGCACGACCAATTCTGCCCAGGTCTCAACGCCCTGGCTGACGGTCGCCTGAACATCAATGGAGGAAACACCGACCAGGCTACCACCATGTACGATCCTTTTGCCAACACCTTCACCCGTTCTGGTAACATGACCAGGGGACGTGGCTACCAGAGCTCGGTCACGCTCTCCGATGGAAGGGGTTTCACGATCGGTGGCTCGTTCACTGGAGGTATCGGAGGCACGGAAGTCCCCCTCAAAGATGGCGAGGTCTACGATCCTGCTTCCAACACCTGGTCTGCGCTTACCGGTGCCAAAGTCAGCAACATGCTCACAACCTACGACAATGGAGGTCCCTGGCGTACCGATAATCACGCTTGGCTGTATTCCTGGACGGGCGGCTCTGTGCTGCAAGCCGGACCGAGCAAGCAGATGAACTGGTACAGCACCTCGGGGCAAGGCGGCGTGCGAGGCGCCGGTACGCGCAACGCTAACAATGACCAGATGTGCGGTGTGACTGTCATGTATGACAACGGTGTCATCTTCTCCGCCGGTGGCTCGCAGAGCTACAGTGACAGCGATGGGCTCACAGCTACGCACAAGATCACGATCAAGGGCGTCAACACCGCGCCTGCCGTCCAGACGCTGCCCAACATGAACTACGGAAGGATGTACGCCAATGCGGTGGTTCTTCCGAACGGCAAGGTGTTCATCGTTGGCGGTCAGACGTATGGTAAGGGCTTCCAAGACACGGACAGCGTCATGCAGGCAGAAATCTGGGATCCTGCCACCAACGCCTACACTCTGGTTGCGCCGATTGCGGTGCCGCGCAACTATCACTCGACGTTGCTGCTAATGCCCGACGGACGCGTGATGAGCGGCGGCGGTGGCCTGTGCTACGTGGGTGGCAACTGCCAAGGCGGCAATCATCCCGACATGCAGTTCTACAGTCCTTCGTACCTGTTTGACGCCAGCGGCAATGCTGCTGCTCGCCCTCAGATCACCAAGCTCGCGTCGAGCCAGCAGAACGGTAACCAGATCCGTGTCAACCCGGGCGGCACGCTCACCGTGACGCTCAACAGCGCTTCCGGTCTCAGCCACGTGCTGATTCGAATGGGATCGTCCACGCACTCGGTCAACACTGATCAACGCCGCATCCCTCTGACCGTGAAATCGACTTCGGGCAACACTGTCACGCTCCGCCTACCCAACGACAATGGCGTTGTCACACCTGGATTCTGGTACTACTTTGCCGTTGCTTCGAGCGGTGCCCACAGCATTGGCCAAACGGTCAATGTCCTCAAGGTCTAGCTTCTTTGGACTCTGGCATCGCGATCCTCGCCTGCCTTCCTCTAATTTGCTTCTGCTTCTATCAGATTGTTGGATCTTTTGTAGATGTTTGACGTTGGTCCTTTCTGAAGGACGCTCCAAACTCCTCGACAAATGCCAATCTTTCTTCTTGTCTCCACGCTTCAGGCCTGTGAAATATGGCGGTCTCCAGCTCAATACGAGCTGGCGCTTAAAGCCGGCGGCGCAAGGGCGATGATGCGAACTGGACAGACTCGCGTTTCGCACTGGGCCGCTCAACCTTCCGCGCCAAGGTTAACCCCGCACTCACAGTGCGGGAGGAATCGTAGAGGGCGTGGATTCACAAAAAATTGGAAACAGAGATTCCTATAATAAATTGGCAACGGCAAAATCTGGCATGGAAATCAATGGCATGTGATCAACATTGCATGACGCAGGCGGAGAGTGGATGGATGCCGAGTGACAGCCTCCCCTCCCCAAAGTCACTGATGTATGCCCGCAATATGCGGCAAATCACCGACAGCTGAATGACAAAGAAGGCCACTGGCGACTAGTTGTTGATCTTCTTGAAGTGGAAATAGGCAGGGAAGCCGATGACGAGCTGGGTGAGCGTCCACTTGACCGAGGTCACCAGGTCGGCGCCGCGGTAGAGCGTGTAGAGGAGCATGGCACCGGCTTCGGCGACGTGGATGCGAGCGATGAGGTGCGCCCACTTGTCCAGGTTGGCCGTGCCGCCAAAGATGTTGGCAAAGTTGGGGTTCTCGCGCCCAAAGTACCAGGCAGCGATGGCCACCGCGCTCACGACGGCAGGTCGCTGAGGAAGAGAGTATCGAACCTGGTGGACGGAGTTCGCAAGGAGACAGCGAATGGTATCAGGATCTTGACCAACCTCATATGTCAACTCAGCTTTCATAGCTGCGGCAGCTCGGCACTTACAGGAAGAGACATCGTGGTTGAGATCGTGATAGGACGACGAGGGTGAGAGAGATGATGGTAGTTGCTGGAATGGATGGCTGTGACAGAGCATCGAAGGCGGGGGTCTCGTGATCCGCACAGGCTCCAGGCTCGAGCGGGTGCCACCCCGGCTACCCCGGTCACATCATCTGCCCGAAGTGCTGAATCGCTTTGAGTGCACGTCATCGCGGAGCCTCCACATCCGGAAGCACGGTTACCACCCAGAATCGCGTCCAAAAGCACACTCCGCAGGGTTGACAGATTTCTGACTTTGGCGGGGACCCTGCATGACACAATTGATCGACACGCGTTGGGCATGAATGGTCACCATCACGGGCGAGCGAGTGTGGGTCATGACAGATTCAGATTTTAGCAGCCAAACTCGGACCATCTGGGCCGTCACACAATGCGGATAGAGAAGGAAAGAGATAGATGCAGATTAGACCGTGAGGGAACGAGGGAACAAACAAAGCCATTGCGATAAAAAGGAACGATGGGCGTCGACGACGTCGAGGCGGATGCTGGCTTTCATAGCCGGAGTTGGTTGAGCCAGGTAGGCGTACAGCTGATGATGGCCTTAAGCGGCAACACGAAGCTTCTTGAAGCCAAGCTTGCCACCCGCGCCACCCGCAGCAGCACCACCGAACTCGCCACCGCCACCAAACTTGCCGCCAGCACCGCCAGCTGCGCCTCCGCCGAACTTGCCACCAGCGCCGCCCGCTGCACCTCCACCGAACTTGCCACCAGCACCACCCAAGACTCCTCCGCCGATCTTGCCGACAGCATCACCCACCACTCCTCCACCGATCTTGCCGCCAGCGCCGCCGGCTGCACCTCCACCGAACTTGCCGGTAGCACCACCCGCGGCGCCACCACCGACCTTGCCGCCGGCGTCTGCAGAGCCGCGACCTCCGGTCTTACCGCCAGCACCGCCAGCTGCACCACCGCCAAAGTGTCCGCCGGCATCTGCAGCGCCAGAGGCACCGTAGTATCCGCCAGCACCAGCGGAGCCAGAGCCACCAGCGTGACCACTAGCGCCAGCGTGGCCAGAGCCACCGGCGGAGCCAGATCCGCCAGCGTGACCGCCAGCACCAGCGTGGCCAGAGCCACCAGCACCAGCGTGAGCGCCAGCACCAGCATGAGCGCCAGCACCAGCGTGAGCGCCAGCGCCAGCAGCACCAGAACCACCAACATGACCGCCAGCACCAGCTTGGCCAGAACCACCAGCGTGTCCGCCAGCGCCAGCAGCGCCAGAGCCAGAGGCACCCCAGTATCCGCCAGCACCAGCAGCGCCAGAGCCACCAACATGACCGCCAGCACCAGCTCCAGCAGCGCCAGAGCCGCCGAAGTATCCGCCAGCGCCAGCGGCACCAGAGCCACGAACGTGACCGCCAGCGCCGCCAGAGCCGCCAGCGTGACCTTCAGCACCTGCAGCGCCAGAGCCACCGAAGTGAGCACCAGCAGCCGCAGCGCCAGCACCACCAGCGTGACCGCTTGCGCCAAAGCCATCGTCGCCGACGTTGCCAGGAGCCTTGCGTCGGACGAGCTTGCCTTCAGCGTGGGCGCTTGTCTTGCCCGAGAAGGCCGCAGCGCAGCCAGTGAGATCGGCATTGAACTTGGCCACAAGTTGCGTGGCCTCCTCCTTCTCGTGCGCAGGTGTGATGCGCAGCAGATGCTCGCCAAGGCTGTTCGTCGCGGTCTTGAACTCCCTGATGCTGGCTTCAGCACGGCCTTCAACGCCGAGCTTCTTGAACTCGCCCTTGAGCGCAACCATGCGCGTCGTGACGGCGCGCACCTTGAGCTCGGTCTTGGCAAGGAAGGTGAACATCTCCTTGGCATCAGCGTCGGTCGGCTTCTCCTTGAGCTCGCCAACGCTCGTGCTGCAAGCCTTGATCTTGGAGGTGAGATCCTGCGAAGCCTCGCGGATGGCAAGCGCACTGAAGTAGCTCAGGCTCTCGACGTGCAGGTGCTGGTTGAGACCGTCCACCGAAGTGTCCATCGCCTTGATCTCGCCCTTGAGCTCGGCAACAGTCGAGGCCGAGGCCAGCGCAGCGAAGGCCACGAGAGCAGCAAAGGTAGAGGCGGCGAACTTCATCGTGAGGCTCGAGTAGAGAGAGTTTAGAATAGATAGACTGGGAGGGAAGAGATCGGTAGAGATATAGAGAGAGTGGTTGAGATGTATTAGAGAGGCGTATGAGAGAGATGTATGAGGAGAGTTGGATGGATGCAAACCGTCTTTCTGGTCTCGTTGGACCCATGCTATATATCGCTTCTCGTCGACATCGGCTTGTCTGGATCGTACAGTGTCAGCTTCGAAACGCTGCCTCTTGCTACTTGGTGCATTCCGTTACCCAGCTAGCCCCTGTGTGCACCGTATGCCCTAAGACGTGCCGGTATGGTGGACAGCACCGAGCACGAATGAAGCGGTTGCAGCCATCGCGCCCGGACCGCAGCTCACGGCGCAAGGTCGGGCGCGATCGAGGGGTTTGGGCGAGCAGCGATGGATGGCGAAAGAGCCCTCGAACGCTACACCTTGGCAACAGCAGCGAACCCCGGCTCATCGAAGCTAGTGCGAAAAGTAGAGGTTCAACCGTGCATATCACTTGGCCGATGGAAGCAGACGCTCAAGCGAGAGGTCCAAGCACGCCGGAGATGGTGCTGATGCGGTAGGTCTAGTTTAGCCGACTGTCATTAGATTCAAGGGACCGAGTGCGGGGCAGAGACCAACTCGGATGAGATCGCTGGGACTGAGCCCATCGATCGGCTTTTGCTGCGAGCACGGCCCGCGCGGTTGGACTGCAACGCCGTCGACGGCCGGATCGTCGATACTCGCCGAAATGACCCCTGCCTCGCGCTCGTGTGATGAAGACGGTGGCTCGAGCCTCCTCCGAGCCGCATTTCATTGCTCGGCGCCTTCCTTCTGGGGTCTGAGAATCTCTGCATTTCGCTAAACACACCGCATCGCATTGTGGCGAAATGCTGCGATTCGTGACCAATGCATGGCTCGATCGCGCACGATCAGAGGCTCTGAATAGCTCGGATCCTCTCGGCCATGACTTTCCTGCCCGTCGATGTTGACTCAAGCGGTGCGACCAGTTCCCAAGCGTGAGGGAGCCCCTTGTAGACTTGCAGATCCACTTGCACCCCCGCCTGGTGCAGTCGTCGGGCGAAGTCGAGATCCTCTAGCAGGAAAATGTCTAGCTGGCCGACATCCATGTACGTATCCGGAAGATTCGAGAGATCTTCCACTCGAGCGGGCGCAGCGTATCGAACGAGTTGGGCGACTTGATCCGTTCCCGCTACTCCTTTTCCAAGAAGAGCCGACCATCCTGTCACATTGGACTCGTATGTCCACAAAGCGAATGGAACGACCCTCTCGTCTGGCACGAGGTTGCGATCATCCAGCATCGGGTAGATGAGGATCTGCTTCTGCAGTGGCGGCGAAAACTGCCTGTCGCGAGCCTGAAGCGCCACGCCTGCAGCGATTCCGCCTCCAGCCGAGTCACCAAAGAGACCAATGCGCTTGTTGTCGATGCCCAAGGATGCGGCATTGGTGGAGAGCCATTGCAGAGCGTCGAACGAATCGTTTACGATGCCGTCCAGGTTATGCTCGGGCGCCAGTCGATAGTCTACCGAGAAAAAGTCGACTCCGCTTGCGTCCGAAAGGCCGCCGATGATGCCCGTATCCACGTAGATCTGCGCGGAGCCCGAGATCATGCCGCCGCCGTGGATGTGGAGCACGGCGGCGCCGTTCTCCTTCCTCTGCTTGGGCGAAACCTGGATGACATCGATCTCGGCATCGTCCCTCGTTTTGATCTTGTGCGTCTTGACAGTCACGTCATGCTTGGGCATCATTTGCCCGGCTTGCTGGAGGACTGCATCGAAGCCTTGCCGTCTGGACTCGACATCGTGGACGGCGGGCTTTGGCAATTGTGAAAACGCAGCCAAGACAGGTCCCGCTGCTTGCAGGAACTCTGGGTCGAGCTCAAAAGAATGCGAAGATGGCATGATGCGGCGGAAGGGAGACAAAATGGTATTGTGCGTCGAAATGCGGGATGCTGATATTGTTGGGTCGCAAGGACAGGCAGGATGAGCAGGTCAAGAGTCGCTCCACGTCTCGAAAGCGGCTCACTCCATCGTCGGCGTCGGGCCGGGCTGCCTGGTCCGTGCTCGTTACCGTAACTGCTCGCTAAGGCTCGGATGATTTTCCCCCGCATGAATCCCCGCAGCCTTGCGTTGCGTCCCCGCAAGCACGCCCGGCAAACTATTCTTCGACTCAGAAGCGTCTCGAGCCTGCGGCAGGATCTAGCACCATGTTTGTCGCCTTGCCCTTGCGCTCGGTATCGGAGCCTGCCTGAGCCGATGTTGATTCGAGCCGGAGTGCCTCGACTGCTTCGGCTGCGGTGTAACTGCGCCACCCAAAGTCCTCCACCATGCGGGTCAGCAACCAGGCCAGCTCGACCTTGGTTAGGCACCCGACCAGGTCCCGCTTGAGGTCCTCTGCATCCACACGATCGCGTAAGTACACGAGCTCGTCGGAGCTGAACGCGGAGGATGACTCTCGAATCTTGTCTTCTGCCTCGGTCGTCGCTCTGAAGTGCTTCCGGATGTCGCGCTGGATAGACTCATCCTTGGTCGCGGACGACGCGCTCAGCGATGCAAGGAAGACGAGATCGGTGTGCTGATGTGCTGTCAGACTGAGCTCGCGAGGTGTACCGACTAGACTGTCCAGGGCCACGCTCTGTGCGGATGCTCTCTCGCCAGCTCCTCCGTTGGCAGATGGAGTGAACCAGAACTGATGGAACCGGACAAACTTTGGAGGCGCGCTTTCCTTGTCAGTCGCTGACGACAACGGTTCCAGAGCGCCGCGATTGTTGTTGCCCATGTCAGTGTACCACATCTTTGCGTTGCGAAAGTCGCCTTCGAGCTTGTGCAGGATGGCGTGGAGCCAGTCTAGATAGCGACTTCCTCCTTGCGCCTTGCGCACCAGGAAGTGAGCGGAATACAGATCCCCCTGCAAAGAGCGGATAAGAGACAATCCGCACTTTAGTCACTCTTAAAGTTCCCCTTCCGCGACCGAGCGGAGCCGGTGGTGCTCACATTGATCAGATGCAGACACGCTTCGATTGCAGGGTGAAAGGCAGCGTCCGCGATCAGAGGTTGTAAGTCTGCGTGATTGGGTCGTTTGTGCGGAACAGCTTCCGCAGGTAGGCCAGGAATGTCGTTCAAGAGTCGAGGCAGCCATCCCGGTGCGCTACCTCGAGAGCGAGCTCCATCACTTTGAAGTTGCGAAATTAGCCGCTGCAGAATGCGGTCCATGTCGAATGCGAAGTCTAAAGTCTAGATCAAGTTTGAGCCGGTGACGAGCGGCGGATAGAGATCAACAGCGCTCAGAGGTAGATGGTTGCTCTTTGCGAAGCGAAGCCCTTCGCCGAGAAGATGATCAAGAGAGAGCCTGACTCAGAGACACTTTGGATGACGTGCAGTGCGGGCCGCGAGGCTTGCAGATCGCAAGTGGAGCAGGAGGTCGCTGACGTGACACGCGGCGTTGTGCTAGCAAATTGGGTCCTGCCACTCTTTGACAGCCGAGGCGAGCTCCGCACGAACAAGCTTTCCAGTCAGATGTGTGGAAATCAAACCCTTTCTTGTGACAATGACGAGAGAGCTTTACAGGAGAGCGTGCAGAGATACACTGTACAGAGGTCGAATCCGCGCGTGCGGGTCTAACTGTGAGAAGGCCGTTCATGACCTCAGACCTTCTTCTCGCTGCTGCCGGACGACTGGCGGTCGAAGGCGGGCGCAGCTGAAGCGCCGTTCTCGAGGACGTGGATCGCGTTGGTGTTTTCCGCGGCAGTCTCGTCGACGTAAACCTGCTTCTCGACCTCGTAGTTGGACTCGCGGATGCCGAGGATGACGATGAGGGCAAAGGGGAATGAGAAGAGCATGAGGCCGAACACGGCACCGATCTCGTTGATGTAAGGCACCAGAGTAGCGTCCATGGCGAAAGCGACGGCGGCTCCGGCGGACTGGACCGCCTTGTACATGCCAGCGTATCGTGCGAGCTCGAAGGGGTCGTTAGTGATGGCACCCATGATCCAGTAGGCGAGACCCTGGTAGAAGGCATCGCCAATGTCGTAGAGCACAAAGATCGAGATGGGCTCCGAGAAGTCCGAGTCGTGGTGGTTGATCTTCTTGGGCCATTGAGTGGCTCGGGTGATGGGAAGCTGGTACTTGATGCCCCAGCTGTAGGCAATGATGGTGAAGATGGCGGTGAGCGACAGGCCAAAGATGCCGCGGTTCCTTCGCGACATGGGCAGCTTGTCGAGCAGCACGCCGAGAAGAAGCGCGCCGATGATCTGTCCTGCCGATTTGACCACACCATTGACCGAACGAGCAGACGAGTCGAACACCTTGAAGGCGATCGAGCCCTGTTGATTGCAATGTACAGCAACCGACGTCAGCTGGGCTCGCGTTGGGCGTGGGGCTGTCAACGGAGGTACTCACCTGGTAAGGGTAGAAGAAGTTGCTCGCAAACATCATGGGGATGAGGAGGAGAATCTCGCGGCGCTTGAGAGTGCTGAAGAGGGCGCGGATTTCCTGGCGCGCAGTGTTGGACTTTTCAACCTTCACAAGAGTGCCGTCTAGAGGGTTGTGAAGTTGGTGGGAGAATAGCTGTCAGCAGTCTGTCTCGTCGCAGTGTGTGCTTGATGAGAGGGTCGATTTGAGACTTACCAGTGCGGACGACTCGGTTGGGAGGGAGGAGAGTCCACGTGAGTGCGACACCGACCATGATGATGGCGAAGAAGGCGATGTAAGTGGTGGTCTTGACGGCGTCGAGGCCGCCCTGCTTGAGGTTGATGCCGAGAGCGATGAGGCCGCCCATGAGGGAGCCGCTGTTGAAGATGGCCCAGAAGATACTGAAGGAGCGACCCTTCTCGGCTTCAAGGGGGTAGGAGAGCATGATGCAACCCTGGGCGGTCCAGAGCAGTGCGGCACACATTCCGAGCACTGCACCTGAGAGCACCAGGAACCAGTCTTGAGCCTTCTCCTGGTAGACCCAGAGCGCGGCGAGATAGAGGGCGTATCCAAGACTGCCAACGAAGAGGGTGATGCGTGGACCAAAGACATTGTTGAAAGAACCGGATACCAGACCGGTCAGGGCGAAGAGGGCATAGAGAACGGCGTTGGTGATGTTGGAGAGAGTGATGGACTGAGTACCGCCGGCTCCCAAATTTGATACGGCACTGAACATGCCTACCGTCGCAAAGCAGACGAAAGAGACCAGGATGACCTGGCAGAGAGGCGAAGTATATCGCCAGGAGGAGGAGACCTTCATGGTGGGCCACTATCCAAGCGATGTTAGCGCGGTATGGATTTGTGAGGTTGGAATTGGCGCGGTTCGAGTGGGAAGAGGGTATGTGGAGGGCGAGAAGAGTAGCACGGGGGACGATCGAGAAGTGGGTCAAGTACAGGGGGTAGATATACGAGCGAAGAGGCGAGGGCGAGAAGGTGGATGAGGAGGACCCTGGCGAGGGAGGACAAGCCTTAAGCGCAGGCGCGTGGCATCGGCGTTGCATGGGCATTGATTGTCATTGGGCAGATGTAGCTACTGTAGTACATTGAGGGAGAAGGCCAAGCGTGGGTGCTCGGTGGTCGGGGCAGTCGAGTTGACCGGTCCGTTTGTGCATGAGGGAAGAGGGATCGCGATAAGTTGTTAGCGAGGTTATCTTCGGTGCATGGACGCGGGTGTCGAGCATTGCCAAGGTAGGAGGGCTGTGGGCGCTGCAATGCAAGTGGGATGGAAGTGCGGGGAAGCATGGCGTGGGGGAATGGGGCGATACAGCCGAGTGGTACAACGTATGATTGATTGCGAGGATGTGCGGTGCATTTGTGGACACGGTCGGCGAATGCTCGAAAAAAAAAACAGCGCGTCGTCGGTCCGACGTCGGCGCGACGCCATTTTGAGAACGGTGGTTTAAGGATCTGAACGGCGCCAAGGCTATCTGAGCGGAGCGGGCGGATGTGTAGCATGGCGACGTCTCATGACCAATCTGCCGGCACTCTCGCCGCTTTTTGATGCTCCGACAAGCGCTTTGAGTCCTATCGCGACCGGTCACTCCCTGGATGCTTGTGATGATGCTTTGTGCTTCATGAGACGATACGAGGAGATCTCAAACAGCGAATGCGAAGATCCAAGCGACTCGGCGTCGGTGTGGGCACCCAAGATAGGCGAGGCGAGAGCTCGGACATGAAACGGCGAGCACCGATCAGGCACCAACGGCAACAACGGCACTGGCGCACATGGCTCTCGCCTATCCTGCTGCATGAGGATGCCGATTGGAGAGTGCGGACCGAACAGCCGACCTGCAAAGGCCATGAATCTCTGTTCCTGCTTGTCCTCTGCAGCTCTGGTGCGAGATGGGGTGTTTAGATTGCTTGCTCCTGATAACGCAGCGAGTGAGCATGACGCTTGATAGCGAGTGTCGCGCCGGGTCGACGCTGTTACATCGACCTTTCTGCGTAACAAAAAAAAAGAAAAATCGCACGCTGTTGGTGCGGCATGGTCTGCATGGCGCGCACAAAAAAAAAAGCACAGCGGCGGCGCTTCACCGTTGCGCACTGCACCGCACCGTCCACGACCAAATTCGAAAGAAGGTTGGTCCTCATCGTCATCGTTGCCGCATCCGCCACTGTCAATCCGGCCCGCTTTCTGCAATTATCGAATCTTTTGCCACGAGGCACTCGTCAAGAGGACTTACACGATGGCGCGAACCCAACACTTTGCCGTGCAGGCCAAGATGCCCATCTACTCGGTGGGGTTTGTGCAGGACAACATCATCGTCTACTCGGGTGGAGGAGGTGCCGGTCGCTCGGGCGTCACCAATGCCGTCGTAGCTGCGCGCATCGATCTGGCATCGCAGTCCATCGACAAGCTCGACGAGTGCAGCCTCTCCAGGGACGAGGATGCGCCCATGGCCATGGCGATCAACACGGCCAAGTCGCAGCTGGTGTGCGGCATCAACAGCACCGCGGATCAGGTCAAGAGCGGCTCCAACCAGCCCATCCGCATCTTTGACTACGCCATCTCGCCACAGGCTGAGAGCGCATCCAGCTCGCAGTCGGAAAAGCCGTCGACAAGCGCAAAAGTGCAGCTGAGCTTGGCGAGCGCATCGTCGTCGCTGCACATCCAGGATCCGGAAGAGTACGTCAAAGTGGTGAGCTTCAGCCCCGATGGGCGCATGCTCGCCGTCGCCAGCACCGACGGCCAGGTCTCGCTGCACAGATATCCGTCGCTCTCGCCAGTGTGGAACGACGTGCGCGAGCCCAGCTCATCGGCCATCGCCGCCGCCGAAGCCAAGGATACCTCGATCTCGCTCGCATCGCGCGACTTTGACAAGGCCGAGATCTACGACGCCGACTTTTCGCACTCCAACACGCACCTGGTGCTCACCTCGTCGTCCAAGCTCGTTGTCTATGCCACCGACCCTTTTGCGGATCCCGATTCAGACGCAGCTTCGACCAACGGCGACGCGGCGTCGGCTCCTGCCGAGGGATATGCGCAGACGATCCAGACCATCAAGAATCCGGCGCTGGGCGGAAAGGGTCCGTGCTCCTTCCGTGCCGCGCGCTTTGGTCGCGGCGAGGCGAGCAAGGAGAAGCTGTTCACAGTTGTCAATGCCGCGCCCGCAGGTGGCAAAGGACCCAAGGCCAAGATCCGCAAGAGCTTTGTCACCGCGTGGGATGCGGATACCTGGGACCTCATCGAGACGCGCCATGTATCGGATCGACCCGTGACGGTATTCGACGTGTCTGCGGACGGCAAGTTTCTGGCGTATGGATCGTCGGATCTGTCGGTGGGCGTGTTGGATGCAAAGACGTTGCGGCCGGTGCTCAAGATCCTGCACGCGCACGACTTCCCACCCACGTGCCTCAAGTTCAACCCGGCCTCCAACGTGCTCGTCTCGGCGAGCGCGGATAACACGCTGCGCATCATCCCCATCCCCGCCAAGGCGCTGCTCGAGTCGGCTGCACGCTCCAGCGGCGCACTCGCTTTCATCGCCGAAACGCGCATGGGCTTCTACACCACCATCTTCCTCTCGCTCCTCGTCGCCGCCCTTGCGCTCTGGTTCCAGCGACAGTACCTGCTCAACTGAGCCCCACCGCTGTCAACGTCGAATCCAAATGCACTTTCTAGATCCGCTTGAAAGCACCTTTCCAAAAGCCACGAGTCCCAGGTTGGATGGTAGCTAAGAATACAATTGAGATTGACGGCTAGACGCTGCTGCTGTTGGCGGGATGGCTGGAAGATCCAGGTTCGTCGGTGGTCGGCGTGTCTTTGGCCCTTGCCTTGGCCTTTCTCGCGAGCAGCTTGTCGATGTACTCGGTGGCGAAGCTCTTCATTTTGGCCTTTTTGTCGCTCGAGAGCTCGGTGAGCGTGGCGCCGTTGGCGGGCGGCCACGATTTGGGATTGCGCATCTCCTTGTCCACAATCACGTTGGTGAGCTCCTTGGCATGGCGCTTGAAGCTCTCGCGCTCCAGCGCATCCTTGTGCTTGGACATTTGGCGCACCACCACCTCACCCACCAGCTTGCGCAGCCGACGCTCGTTGCTCGCCGCCACCTCGCCCGCTTTGGAACTCGAAGCTGCATCGGTGCCGTTGGAGCTACGCGCTGCCGCCGAAGAAGACGAAGGCTTGTGTCTTTTGTCCGCATGGCGAGACGACGAAGACGGCCTCTTGCGCGACGAGGAGGACGACGAGGATGCGGGCTTGAGATTGCCGTTGAGCTCGAGCTCGCGCGCTGCCTTGGCGGCGGCTTCGGCCTCCTTGCGTGCGCGCTCCTCGTGCTCGTTGGCTTCGCGGATGATCTCTTCGATCGACTTGGCGACGGGCGGAGCCGAGACCTTTGGCGGCGCATGTTGTGGCTCTGGCTTGGGCTGCGGCTTGGGCTGCGACTGCGGCTGTGGCATCTGGAAACCGTGCTGCTGGAGCGACGAGACGAGCCCGGGCAGCGACTTTGCGAGCGACGAGGAGAGTGCCGAGGTGAGCTGGTCCGCAGTCAAGCCGGTTGGCGCCAACGAGGCCGGGAAGGAGTTGGCTGAGCCGTTCGAAGGGTTGTTGGATCGCCTGCTGGCGCGCGGATCGGACGTCTGCGCGGGCGGAGGCGGAGGTGGCTGCCAAGCGGGACGAGACTCGCGCAGCTCCTGATCGCCAGAGAGCGCCGAACCGAGCTCGGAGGAGACGGCGTTGGGCGCCTGTGCCTGGTCGAGCTCGAGCGGATCGTCGAAGAGGTCTTGAAGGCGTCGACGGTCGATCCAGCTGGTGGCGTTGGTGGCGTGTTTGGGCTCGTCTGCGCCTTGCTTGATGGCATCCTTGCGCGCGATGCGGTAGGTCATGTCGAGCTTCTTCCACGCCTCGAGCAGATGCTCTGCGCGAGATGACACCTCGGCGTCCTCTGCTGGCGGCGCGCCGATGCGCAGTGGTGTCGATTCGGCTGTTTCTTGCGTGGCATCTGGGTCCGGCTTGGTAGATTGGAGGGATGGTTCTGGCTTTGTGGCGGTGGAGGACTTGGGGCGATAAGTTTCGGCGGTGGTGCGCACCTGATCCTCGATGCCGCAGTCGATGACCTTGTTGCGAGCGATGAGGGGCCATCGGGCGAGGACGTTGATGATGAGGAGGACAATGTCACGGTCGTTCCACCACTGTTCGAGGAGGAACTGCATGAGGATGAATCCGTGAAGCTTGACGAGCGACTTTTGGACGTTGACGTCGGTGGTCATCTCCATCCTGCGGAGGAGCTTTTCGAGGATCTCGCGCTTGGGGCCGGCCTGACGAGCGGCGGTCATGACGCGGGTGGCCTCGTGTTCCTGGATGGGACGCATTTGCGGGATAAAGTCGAGGTCGAGACGCTTGCCGCGTTTGCGACGCGAACCTTTGGCTTCGGTCTGCTCTACTTCGTCCGAGATGCCGAGAGCGTCGAGGAAGAGGTCGTCCATGCCGCTGAGGTCGGTCTGAGTCTTGCCGCCGAGGGTGCCGACGCAGTTGGGTTCGCCGCAGAAGCACTCTTGTGCGTCGTTGCCGTATCGGTCTACGTTGTAGTTGAAGGTGAGTTCCTCGCCCTTTGCGATGTTGCGTTTTGCAAAGATGCCCATGCGGAGGTGTTTGCCGACCTGCCACTTGGAGACGGAGCAGTTGGGGTTGCAGGAGTGATTGATGAAGCGACCCTTGCCGCCCTTTTTTGTGGCGTCTAGATACTCGTTGGGTTGGAGCATCATAAAGTAAAAGTGACGGATGCCCTCGGTGCGGTAGAGCTGCATGCGATCTAGGAAGGTGTGCTGGTTCATGACCTCGCCGACGTACTCGTAGACGAAGGACTCCTTTGGGATGTCGTGTGCTGCGCGCAGGCCGAAGCCCTTCTTTTCGGTTTGTACGATGTCGACGTTTACGTACTGCCTGCGGTGGAAGCGCTGGTTGCGGCAGAGCTTTCCCCATCTGCATTTGGAGGAGGAGCATTCGATCTGGGTCATGCGATTGATGCATCCCGACTCGTCTGTGCAGGCGAGGTCAGTATTCTCTGTTGCAGGGTTGCAGTCGCAAAGCATGTAGTCGTCGAATTTGCCTGGTGGTCTGCCGAGTTTCTTGTCGTGGTAGTCGTTGTGAGTGATTTCGGTGAAGGTGGCCATGGCGGCATCGTGTGCGAGGGGGAGGTGTTGGACGAGCTGGGGCTGTGATTGTACTCTTGGTTTGCGTGCGGATAGGGCTGACAGGGAGTCGGGCGAAGTGGAGCCGGATGCGTGCGGATCTGGAGAGGCGCTGTCGAGCTTTGCTGCTGTGGTGGACTGGGGCGGGGGAGAAGGGGAGGGGGTGAAGGCGGGTGGGGGTGGTGGGATTGGTGAAGGCGGTGGCAAGGATGCTGCTGCGGAATGGGAGGAGGAGGGGGATTTGAGGACAGAAGCCGAGGAAGAGGCGGTGGCCTGGTGCGGCAGCGGCGTGCCCTGATCGGACGACATGGTGCTGTGTCGTGTCGGTGTGGATGACAGTCCTGGCCGCGGAGGAGATGGCGGTTATTGGAGAGAGAGGCCGTCAGAGCAAGTGCGCGGTGCAGACCATAATCGAGCGTGTGCAGCGCCAGAGGCTTGATGCAAAAGACGCGCAATCGGGATCACAATGTGGATGCGCGCTAGCTGGCTGGCTGGATGGTTGGTCGTGGATGATGATGGTTGACGATGGCAAAGAAGCTGCAGTGGCGCGCAAAGGGTGCACAGAGGTGCAGATGAGAGCTGCGGCTGAGAGTTGCGGCTGAGAATTGTGGCCAACTCGCATCCGCTGTCGCGCTCTCGCTTTGTCTCTCTTCTGCCTCCGTCTCTCTCTCGAAAGGGTTCATCAAACACTTCTTCCTGAGCCAAAGGAATTGAGCGCCACCAACTGAGCCGTCGAGTCGAACGCGGTTCGCACAGCCAAGGCCGAAACAAATTCGAAATTTGAACTTGCGATGTAACACGGATCAGGACGAAAAATCCGTTGGCTGGTGATGCGAAAATTGGATGCGTCGCGTAGACTGCAGCGCCAAAGGCCGGGCAGCTGAGGGCAAAGAGGGAGCCGACTGCCAACGGACGGGCTCGAGCTGCTCAACTGAGAGAGGGCAGTCAGTGCATCTATCTGTACGAGAGCGAGAGAGAGCGAGAGAGAGCGAGAGCCAACGCGCTCGGTTGCGGGCGGACGGACGCCTTTGGAGCTCGATCGAGGCAGCCACGAGCTGCACCGTCCGTCCGACTCTGCATTCACACCATCGGCCCTGTCACATCGGCGTCCATAACCATCACCTTTGCTGCTACTCAACTCCCATCGTGGTCCCCCTACCTCGTCCACTCGCATCGTCGCATCGTCGCAGCTCTCGAGGCCGTTGGTGAGCTCGCATCCCTCGACCTGCACCACCACCACCGCGTCAATGTCGATCACCAGCAATGTATCACTACTCACAGTCACATCCGCCTCTCCAACACCAGCACCAGCACCAGCAGCAACATAAATACCCGCAGCAGTCCCACCAACACCAGCCTCCGCCACCCACACACCTCAACCACCCACCCCACCATCCCCACCACCTCCACCAGCCGCCCTACGCGCAACAGCAGCAACCACAACAGCAGCAGCAGCAGCAGCAGCAGCAGCAGCAGCAGCAGCAGCAGCAGCAGACCACAGCAGCAGCAGCAGCAGCAGCAGCACACCAGCAGCCTCCTTCGTTCGGCGGCGCTCTGCCTCCAAGACCCATGCGCAGCTCCGCCATCCCCATCGTCGCACCAGCCTCATCCACTCCACCGCCCCAGTCCAAGCCCAACAATCCCTACGACACTTCGGACACCGGCGCATCGCAGCCCGATTCGTCCAAATCGCCCGTAGGCGCCAATGCCATCGCAACCGCTCGCAAGCCCTGCCGCAACATCGCCATCTACGGCCACTGCAAGTACCAGAACGACGGATGCCCCTTCGACCACAACTCCGCCTCCACACAACCCAACCCCAGATCCCCCGCCTTCTCCGCAGCCTCGGCAGCTTCCTCCGCAAACTCGCCCAACAAGTCCAGAGGCGCCCCATCCAATATGCCCTCCAGCCCGCTCAAGGGCGCGCTCAGCGCTCGCAACGTTGCTGCCGCCGTATTCGTACCCAAGACCATCGGAAGCTCCTCCCCCTCCATCTCCGCCGCCGCCACCGCCGCGCCTGGGCCCCGCACCGCCCTCGACAACGTCGCGGCCGACGTAAACGACATGCGCATCGACTCGCCCAACACCAGGGAATTCACCCCAAACGCATTCCACCACAATGGTCCCTCGACGCCCAACATGTACCACACCTCTTCCTACGACGCAGACACCAGCGCCTTCGACCCAACCAACTCCGCTTCCGCGCCAACCCTCACCCACGACTCCCACATGGGCACGCCCGCCGCCAACAACGCACAACAGCCGCGCGCCTACAACCCATACGAGCACATGAACGAGTTTGGCGACCCCGCCCCTCCCCAGGCACCACCCGGCCTCGCACTCGCCGGAGGCATCGACTACTACTCGGCCGCCGCCAACGGCGCCGCCAAGATCCGCCAACCGCTCCACTACCACCTCTACGCTCCGCCCCTCCCGCACGTCTCCAACCTCCACCCGCACCACCTCACCGCCAACGCCTTCTTCCTCAACCCCAACCAGCGCGAGGAGCTCCAACGCAAACAGGAGGCCATGCTCGCAAGCGTGCCACCGCCCGAACTCGGCGGTCCCAACCTGCCCGAGGAGCTGCACGTCTACCACTCGCTCGTCCCGCTCGAGCATCCCGGCCCCGGCGCCCCTTCCTCCATGGGCCTGCCGCCCGGCCTCATCGACCCGCGCATGGGCGCTCCCGGTGCCAACGGCGCTACGGGCGCTTCGGGCGACCACAGCAAGGTGTTTGGATACCGCAGCCACTCGTACAAGGCCACGTGCACGCTCGACGGCAAGCGCTACGTCCTGCGCCGCCTCGAGGGATTCCGTCTGCAGCACGAGGCGGCCATCGGCCTCGTGGAGCGCTGGCGTCGCATCCGTCATCCGAGCATCGTCAGCGTGCGCGAGGCCTTCACCACGCGCGCCTTTGGCGACCAGTCGATCGTGTTTGTGTACGACTACCATCCGCTCGCCACCACGCTCTACGCCGAGCACATGACCATCAAGGCGGCGCAGCCCGATCGCCGTACGGGAAGGCTGCAGCCCGTGTCGATGCAGGTGCCCGAGCGCACGCTGTGGAGCTACCTCTGCCAGCTCACCTCGGCGCTGCGCAACATCCACGCCAGCAACCTCGCTGCGCGCTGCATCGAGGCGAGCAAGGTGCTGCGCACCGCCAAAAACCGCGTGCGCATCAACTGCTGCTCGGTGTTTGACGTGATCGCCTTTAACCCGGACGAGACGCCATCCGAGGCGCTCCAGGCGCAGCAGCTCGACGATCTTGTCAATTTGGGCGCGCTCATCGTCGGCCTCGGCCTCAACAGCGTCTCGGCGACCAACGACATTGCGTCGAGCCTCGCCATCTTTGGCGGACGCTACTCGGCCGAGCTCAAGAATGTGGTGGCGTGGCTGGTGGGTCAGGCGTCGTCGCCGCACGACGGCGGCGCTGCCGACGATCCAGCCGCCGAGGTGGCACGCAGCGTGGGCGAGCTGGTCAAGGTGCTCGGAACGCACTGTGCCGACGAGATGGATTCGGCGCTCAACTATACGGATCTCATGGAGAACTCGCTGATGAAGGAGCTGGAAAATGGGCGGCTGGTGCGGCTGCTGTGCAAGTTTGGATTCATCAACGAGCGGCCCGAGTTTGACCACGATCCACGCTGGGCCGAGACGGGCGATCGGTATGTGATCAAGCTGTTCCGCGATCACGTCTTCCACGCCGTCGACGAGGCCGGCCGACCCGTGGTGGATCTGAGCCACATCCTCACCAACCTCAACAAGCTCGACGCGGGAACCGACGAAAAGATCATGCTCACCTCGCGCGACGAACACAGCTGCCTCGTCGTCAGCTACCGCGAAATCAAGAACTGCATCGAGGCCGCCTTCCAGGATCTCTCCCGAACGCGTTAGCGTCCCCCCTCTTCCCCTCACAACATGACTGTATACAAGCGCAATTCACACTATCAGACAGGTTTTGAAGCCCCACCTCGCAAATAAGCTCAGTGGTCACATGCGAGTGCACGCAGAAAGTGAACTTCGACGGTGACAATTTTCCCAAAGCAAGAACATGACAGTGAGCAAAGGAGCGAGGCGAGACGCGACTACAGCTTGGCGGGTCGCGGGTTGGGCGGCGCAGCGGGCGGGTAGTTGTGCAGATACGGCTGGTGCGTCTGTTGGTGGCCTGTCGGTGTATCCGCAAAGTACGGGTGCGAGATGGGAGGTGGGCGTGGCACCGCACTCTGTCCCGTCGGAAGCGACGGCTGTGCCGATGCTGCAGCAGCACGCATCGGAGCGGCGGGCTGCGCGAGCAATGTTGGCTTGGGCAGCGAAGCCGAAGGCAGGATCTGCGGCTGCAGGTTCGAATGGTCGTAATCCAAAAAGTGGTTGATGTCGCGCGCCACACGCTCCGGATACTGCCAGATGAACCCTGCACCCGAGTCCTCATACAGGTTGAGCGAGGGCTTCGGCAGTCGACACATCAGTTCCCAGCTCCTGCTCGCGGGGATGAGCGTATTGTTGACGCCATTCATCACCAGCACAGGCACATTGATGCGTGCCATCGGGTCAAAGTATCCGCCTCCGCGCTGCTGCGGAAGCGTCTCCCAGCTGCGCCACGCCAATCGTTGACAGCGCAGAGGTCCGAGCTCGCGGCGGTCCTCCAGCAACCCGATGAACGGCGCCTCGGACGGAAGCTTGGACCGATACTGCGCAAACGAGTTGATGCGATCCCAGTGCTGCTCGAGCGCGAGCTGCCCAGCTTGCGAGTCGGTGAAAAAGGTATGCTTCAACGCCTGTTTTACCTCGTCCGGCTTGGTGCCGTCGTTGAGTGAAAGGCGCGACGCATTCATCAAGTTCCAGTCGTCGCGCGGCCAGGGGATGGACATGGAGCTGCGCGAGCACTCTTCGTACAGCCGTGCCGAGATGGCAGGGCCGGTGGTAGCCGCCGCGACGATCTTGCGCACGCGAGTAGTCGCCGGACTCGGGTACAGCGCGGTGAGCAGCGCAGCCGCGCCACCCATGGCGAAACCGAGCACGTCGTACTCCTGCACGCCGAGCGAGTCGGCAATCGCGACGGCATGCTTGGCCCACTTGTAGAACGAGCCCATGTACGGACGCGTGTCGCGATTCGAGATCGAGCGGCCACAGTGGCACGGGTCGAAGATGATCAGCGGACGCGCCTTGACCAGATGCGCCAGGAAGAGCGGATCCCACATGTCCATGCCCGCGCGAAAGTCGCAGTGCAGAAGCAGCGGCACCTCGGAGCGCTTCGGTGGGACGGGAGTAGGTGCTGCCGAGGCGGAGGCGGAAGCAGCCTCTGCATCGCAGGCGATCATGTGGAAAGCTTCCGGGTCGACATCGAGCCAGCGATACGCAATCTTTGCGCCCGAGCCAATGTAGACAAAGTTGGTCGACGTCGTCTGGACGATCTTGAGGCAGTGGCGCAGGAACGGGTCAGCCACCTCTGCGAACAGCTCGGCGGTGTTGGCGGGCGACGGCATGGCGGAGAGAGGGCGCGGTGACGGATGGCAGAGATGGTGGTAGCATCAAACGCTGTGTGCGGATCTCAAAGGCAGGCACAAGCGGCGCCCAAGGGAGACAACGGCCGGCAATAGCACCACAAGAACAGCCGACAGAAGCACGCTGAATCGTCTCGAGTTCCAGTCAACCTTGGCCTGGCCTAGGCTGGCGTGCTGAACCGAGAGGCCGAGGGTGCCATGCAGGGTTTTTCCGAAGCCATCGTCGGCTCGCCTGCCACACGGCTCGTTCGGCTTCCAAATGAATCAAATCCAAGTCGTGAGTGTGGGTTTCGCGGGAAGCGCGCGTGGACCCTGGCCCGCCCCCATGCGACGCTGTGTGAGAATGCGCTCAGGCACGTCCTTCTCTTTTGCGCCACGCAGCTCTCTTTGTCACTCGCCATTTTTCCGACAGCTGCAGGTGAGCACCACGCGCACTTCGTGATTTGACCCGCAAAACGCTTTCCATTCGGCCGGTTTGTCTTCTTCCGACGGCGATACACCCGATCTCCGCAAGGCAGGGCTTGTGTATCGGGTCGCAGCCCACACCTCCACCCCTTGCATTTTGTCAGCCGCCATCTTTGTATCGTAACCATCCTTCATCCTTCATATCATCTGCACCAAGATTGCCCCAAGGCTGCGCTCATGAGGCCCGGTGCGATCAAGCAGCGCGATGTAGCGCCCGTGCAGACGTTTGCCAAGGCCGCTGCCAAGTGCTCTGCCGAGGTAAGTTGGCGTTCGTGGCTCGACCCCCGCCACCCAGTCTCATGCTCACGCCCACGTCTTACTTTTGCTCTTGCGCTACAGGCGCGTATCTACGGCCAGTGCGTCACGGCCAACTACGAGAATATCGAGCGCAACATGTGCTCAAAGGAGTTCCTCGCTTTCAAGGCGTGCGTTCAGCAAAAGGTAAGTTTGCGGAGCTCGAGGGATCTAGTACGAAAGGCGTTCGCCAACTGACCACTTAGCATCTTTATCATCCCTTTCCTTTTCCTGGCTTTAGCTCGGCCGCAAGTGGTGATGCCGGTCACCTGTTCTTCGAAGTATCTACATCTCGTTTTCGTATAATCGCATCTCAAAGCTGTGTTGCACAGTCGCTCTGTATTGTACACTGGGTACGAGCCACGACCGAGGCAATTTGCTTGACTACGCCCACGTCGGCACAGACGCAAAGTGCTAGAGCAAGTGAGAGGCTTGAGCCGTGGCTATGAGGCTCAATGTGATCCCTGCGCATCAAGTGCGTTGACGATGTGACGGCGGAAAAAAATGCCTTCGAATGTTTGATCTTTGGGCGCAAGCGGACGTGCGTGCGCAGAGAGGGCATGCGCGAGACAGCGTGAGTGGGTGCAGCAGCGTTGTGTGCCGCTGGCGAATTAGACTCGGAACAGAAAGACCCCGTCAAGGTTCGGCGGTGCCAAACCGCGCTGTGGCGAGCTTTGAATCTTCCTGACCTTGCTGCTCGCTCGACCTGGATACGCTTCCGTCGACCATCTGCCGAGGCTTTCTCACGATGACTCAAGTTGTCGGCCCCAGCAGGGCCGCTTCGGTGCACACCGACAGCGATGTCAAGGCCAGCACTGCGCGTCCACGCAGGACGATGACGCGCTCGCAACTGGCGCAACGCATCGCTCAAGGAGAAACGCTGGTGCTGCATCGCCGAAAGATCTACAAGCTCGACCGCTGGCTAGCCAACCATCCCGGTGGCGAACTCGCCATCTTGCACTTTGTCGGGCGTGATGCGACCGACGAGATCGAGGCGTACCATTCCGAACACACCATCTCGCGCCTCATGTCGCGCTTCGTGATCGCCCACCTCGACGAGGCCGATTGGGACAACTACACGCCGCTCGTGCCGCCAGTTCAGCTCGGATATCGCAAGGGAAAGCTCGACCATCCGCATGCTCAGGTGGGCATGTGGCGCCATCGCAACACGCCCGCCACCTCGGCCGGCACTTCCGACACCGACGGCTCCTCTGACGGGAGCGCAGACGAGGCGCTCGTGCATGACCTCGTCGTCGGCTCCGCCGTCAAGCGCTCGGATGCGGCCGACAAGGCGCGTGCTGCCCGTACAGCCTCTACTCTCGTGGTGGATCGACCCAATTGCTTCCCGCTTCCCGTGGGCCTCCTCGAGCCTCCTCCGAATCCAGACGGCATCGACGCCGAGCGGGAGAAGCGCATTTCCCACGCTTATCAGCAGCTGCACGAGCAGGTCAAAGACGCCGGCCTCTACACGCTTCGTCCGGCTGGCTATGCTCGCGAGATGGCGCGCTACCTCGCCCTCGGCTCCATCGCCTATGCCTTCTGGGCACGCGGACAGGCGCAGCTGCAACTCGATTCAGACTCGGCCGGCACTCTCCTTCGAGCGTCGACGGCATCCTTCCTGCTCTCGAGCTTCTTCCTTGGCCTCTTTTGGCACCAGCTCACCTTTTCAGCCCACGACTCGGGTCACAGCGGCATCACGCACTCTTGGCAATGGGATCGCATCATCGGCACCACCATCGCCGACTTTATCGGAGGCCTCAGCATCGGATGGTGGTGCGACAACCACGATGTCCACCATCTCGTCACCAACCATCCCGAGCACGACCCAGACATCCAGCACATGCCCTTTTTTGCCATCTCGCCGCAATTCGTCCTTGCCGGCCAGACAACCGTCATCAGCGCCGACAATGCTGCTCTCACCGAGCACGAGCAGGCCAAGCCCGCCAGACCGCTGGGGTTGTGGTCGTCGTACTATCGCCGCTTACTCGAGTTCGATGCGCCAAGCCGCTTCTTCCTCCAGCACCAGCACAAGCTCTACTACATTGTCATGGCGTTTGGCCGATTCAACCTCTATGCCAACTCGTACGGCTTCCTGGCTACCAAGGCACGCCGCGACCGGTGGTGGGCACTCGAGCTCGTTGGCCTCGCCACCTTTTGGACGTGGTACGGGTACGGCTTGCTGGGTTCGCTACCCACCTGGCCCGTCCGCATCGCCTACCTCGTCATCTCGCACGTCGTCACTTCGCCGCTGCACATCCAGATCGTCCTGTCGCACTTTGCACAGTCGTGCGACGATCTTGGTCTGAGCGAGAGCTTTGCCTCTCGCCAAATCCGTACCACGATGGACGTCGATTGCCCTCCTTGGCTCGACTTTGTCCACGGCGGTTTGCACATGCAGGTATCGCACCATCTCTTCCCGCGCGTACCTCGTCACAACCTGCGCGAGCTGCGCGATCGATTCGTCGTCCCGTTTGCGAAAGAGTGGGGGCTGCAGTACCACGAGTACAGCTTCACAAAGGGCAACGGCCGCGTCCTCGCCACGCTTAAAAAGGTCGCCGACCAGGTGCACATTCTCTCCAAGGTCGCAGAGGCATCAGCCAAGGGCGAGCTGCAGCACTAGCAGTTCCTCCTCTCAGCATACAATACAGAGCAACATTCTTTGATGAAACTGTGTGCCCGCCCTAGATGAGCCATCGATCCACGGCTGAAGGGTCCGGTGCGTGAATTTTGGAAGAAGCTTCTGGGTCGCAGTGGAAGGGTCCAACGACGCGCTGGCCCGCTGTCAGGGTGTTGGTTTGGCTACATGTGGAGGCGGATTGCGCATTCATCTTTCTTCTCGTCCATCATCCCGCAACACGGAAGAACGCACGCACACCATGTCCGACGCCTCGCAGCCGAATGAAACCTCCAAGGCAGCTCCGCTGGGTCTGCCCGCACCTGGAGACGCCACCGCCGACGCTCAGCCCAACGTGATCAAGCTCGACCATCTCGGCCCCATGATCGTCAACTCGGACGGCACCATCTCGCGCATCGCCAACTGGGGCGCCATGTCGCAGATCGAAAAGGACAGGTCGCTGCGTCTGCTCGCAAAGCGCAACAACGCCAGGATGGAGAGCCTCAAGGCGGATCCCAACAACAACGAGCAGCAGAGCTGATCCACATACCTCAGCTCAGGCAAGACACACAGCCCATTCGACAGAATACTCTTTGCCAAACTTGTATTGTTCAGAGGTAATTTGTCAAGCGCGCCGCTGCTCGTCGGCAGACTTTTGCGCGACGACGATGAAGCACCTCACCAGGCCGCCCTCCTGGCTCCACGCGCGGACGACGTTGCTGAACGCGCCCAAGCCCTTGCGCATGGTCCAGCCGCCGCCTCTCCACGCCGCGCCTTCGGTCGCAAATCCGCGCAGGAAGCGTGCAAAGCCCGGAAACACGTCGGCGGTAATGTCGCGCAGCATCACCTGCTCGGGCGCAAATCCGGCTTTGACCAGCTCCGCGTGGTAGGCGTCAACGGGCCAAAGGTTGGCTGGCTTCACCGATGCGAGCGTGCATGTGAACATGTGTTTCAAGCGCTCAACCACCGACGGCGCCTCTTGCGGGAAAGGCAGCGGACCCAGCTGCACCCTCGCTGCGCCATCGCGAGGTGCAGGATAGGCGGACAGCAGATCGACGAATGCCAGCCGCCCACCCGGGTTGAGGCGTCGAGATGCTAGCTGGATGTACTCGGGCCGATCGCTAAAGTGGAATGCGCAGTCCAGAGCTAGAATCACATCGTACTTTTCGCCAGCCCCCTCGTCCGTTCTGAGCCAGTCGAGGATATCCCGCGCCCACACCTTGACCTCTGGCGCCGGCTTATTTTCCGCCAGTTGGAGCTGCAGGCGCTCGGCAGCAAACGCAGCCTCGTCCGGAAGACTCGTGACGGCATGCAGCAGTGTGGGTGCGAATCTGTCGAGCAGGAACAGCGTCGACTCGCCCGCACCGCAGCCGACATCGAGAAGTTTGAGCCCCGGTCTGACTCCGGCTGCGGTGTACAGCTGTTCGGCGAGCGTCTGGCATGCGACTGGAAAGTCGAGCTCGCGACGCGAGAGCTGCGGCGTCCAGAATCCCATGTTCATCCACGCCGTCGTGGGCGCGCGCACGTTGAGCGCCAGACACGACAGCGTCTGGTACGGCTCACTCGCGTGCGAGCCGGCCACCACCCAAATGCCTCCTACAACCAACAGTGTCCATGCAAGTGTAGCCGAGTTGAACGCCGGTATTCGTGCCAGCAGTGCCTCCCATACCGCCCGCATGGCGACTTCAAATCGCGTTCCGTAGGAGCTGCTGCCACGATCCTTCGACGAGGTCGCGGCGATGAATCGATCGAACATGACCTTGCCGCCGACTATCGTAGCGTCGACGTTTGCATTGCGCAGCATGATCGGGCTCACGGCCTGCTCGTCGAGGATGTCGCGATCGAGCACGGTAAAGTCAGCTCGTTTGCCGACGCTGATACTGCCCGCCATAGCTTCCTCGAACTGCGCAAATGCAGGGTCCTGCGTGAATCCTCGGAGTGCCTCTCGTCGTGAGAGTCGCTCATGCGGATACCACCCGCCAGCACCGTGGGGCGAGTCGCCGGATTCGTCCAGCCGCGTGATGGCCGAGTAGATGCCGTGGAGCGGATCGGGCAGTTCGACGGGAAAGTCGGAGCCGAGCGCCAGGCTGGCATTGGCGCGCAGCAGCGACTTCCACGCGTACGCACCTTGCGATGCGCGCTCGCGGCCAATGCGCTTTTCGACGTATCCCATATCCGAGGTACAGTGCGTGGGCTGCATGGACGCGATCACACCCAGCTCGGCGTACCGCCCAAGATCACTGGGCTTCATCAGCTGCGCATGCTCCACACGCGGCCGGAGCTCGTCGGCGGCAACATGCGGATGCGAGCGCAGGTACGCCTCGTATGCGTCGAGCGTGAGCGTGTTGGCGCGATCGCCAATGGCGTGCGTGCACACCTGCCATCCGCGCTCGAGCCAGTACTCGACGAGCGAAGGCAGTTCGTGCTCTGGGATCAGCAGTAGACCACGCTCGCCCGGCTTGTCCGCGTAGTCTTCCCACATGGCCGATCCCCACGAGCCGAGCGCGCCGTCGTTGAACAGCTTGACTGCGCGCAGCGTAAACATGGTGTGGTTGGCGCCGACGGCGGAGGTGGGGCGGATCTGCTCGATGCGGTGCGCGCAGCGCCTCTCGCCTGGCGGACAGGCGAGCATCGAGTAGATGCGGAAGCGCAGTAGACCCTGCGCGTCCATGGCGCGGTAGAACGACGCTGCCTTGAGGTCGGTCGCTGCATCGCCTACCGCCGTGATTCCGACGCGGAGGAGACCCTCGGTGGCTGCATCGAGGAACAGCTTGCGCTGCTCGTCCGTCCACTCGGGTACCACCTGGTAGGCAAAGTTCATGGCGTTGTCGATGAGGATTCCGGTGGGGTCGCCGTAGTCATCCCTGACCACGAGCCCTCCTTGTACCTTGTCATCCTCGGCTGGCGTGCGAGGGAAACCCTTGGCGCCGCGCACGACCATATCGAGGCCCACCTGGCTGAGCCAGAGAGCATGGACGTCGACGCGACGCAAGACGACGGGGAAGCGGCGCAGCAGCGGCGAGCGCGAGAGATCGGCCGCCGTGGGGAATGCGGCAGGCGACCATTTGGTCTGGTCCCAGCCGATGCCTTCGATCCACGGCAGCGCCTCCTTCGCATCGAGGCCGACATCCGACGAGTCGTCCGCAAGCGCGAATGCCATCAGGTGCGGTTTCGAGCGAACATAATCCTCAAGTCGCTGGATTACGTCGTCGACCGATTTGGCACCCACCAGATTGGCCACCGTGCGCGACCAGCCGTAGTCGAGAATGTGACCATGTGCATCGTGAAAGCCGGGATAGAGCGTTTGTCCATAGCGCAGCCTGCGTACCTCGCACTTTGCGTGCTTCTTGAGAGCACCGTCTTGGTTGTGGGTACCGGAGCGGCGAGCGAGGCGTGCTGCCTTGTTGCTGTGCGGGCGGCGCCTCTGCTGTGGCTTGCCAGGCCGAGGCGACGTTGGACTGGCACTTTCGGCACAGAAATCGTCGAGGACATCGTGTTCAGCTCCGACATGCGTGATGACTCCCGAATCCACACCGACGCACTGCGCGAACCCCTGTTGCTCTGCAAATTGCTGCTCGTCGCCCGTGTAGATCGAGCCGGAGTCGGCATCGCCAAGATGGAGTCGACCTTGCTGCGTCGGCGAGCAGATCACGTAGTGCTCAGGGAGCACTTCGAGCGGAGAGTGCCCGTGGGTTGCATGGAGCTTGGACGATGACAGCGTCCACAAGCTCGTCAGTAGAACTGCGGCCGCCACGACGACCAGGAAGCGCCGGAGTCGTCGCCCTGACTTGGCTGGAGCGGAGTTCGGCTGAAGCACGCCGTGCCTCTGCGTCTGCGTCTTGCCACTATCAGGCGCAGGATCTGTACCCTTCGCCATGGTGACGATAGACGTCGCGTCTTTGCAGGCTTGTGCTGGTTCGAGTGATGGTCAGGTGGGATGTCGTCTGAAGTGTTGGTCTTTTGCGGGGTCCGCCGGTGAGCTTCGCGCGGCCCGGCGAAAAAGCCGGCGAGTCGGGAAAATTAGCGCTTGTTAGAGCGAACAAGCTAGCATCTTGCAAAAGTGGAGGTGATCGAAAACGCGTAACGAAGTAGCGGCTGTCGGGTGACGTTCAGACCAACACCTGTCTCGACTGCCATTCAACCTTCTCATCCACGACTCACCTTCCCGCTTAACCATCCGCCCAGTGCCCGAGACATCCTTCTCACAAGAGTGAGGCAAGCAGCATCTCCATCAATCCGCAGGACGTCGCCGCCCAGCGCACCACATCCAGCACCACACGCGCGCGCCCCTTGACCCAAAATGGCGTCTTCAGCCAAGATGGACGTGGACAACGCCGACGAGTCGTACCTGGAGCAGGCAGCCTCGTCATCGTCGACGCCTGCGTCGCTGCAGTCCTACTACCCCAAGTTCCGCCAGCTGCACGAGCGCAAGCTGTGGTACCAGCTCACGTTGACGATCGAAGAGTTCCTCAACCACCCAGATTCGCAAACGCCTCCGATCCAGATCGACCTGTACGACAAGTTTGTGAAGCGCTTCTCGTCCAAGATCAACCAGCTGCAGCTTGCCGCCATCGGCGTCAAGGTGGCACGGCAGTACCAGGAGCCGGCCAAGGCGCTCGAGTTCCTGGAGCAGCTCGCCACCAAGCTCGACTCGCCCGATTCGCAGGATGCGTACGTGTACGCGCTGATGGAGGCGGCGCACTTCAAGCTGCTGCTCGGCGACGGGGACGGCACCAAGGCGGCTATGGACAAGTGCGGCAAGATCCTCGACGGCTTTGACGCGGTGGAAACGGCGGTGCACGCAAGCTACTACCGCGTATGCGGCGACTTTTACAAGGCCAAGGCAGAGTACGCCAACTACTACAAGAACTCGCTGCTCTACCTAGCGTGCGTCAACGTGGACGTGGATCTGACCGACGAGGCGCGCGTGCAGCGCGCGCACGATCTCAGCATCTCGGCGCTGCTGGGCGACACCATCTACAACTTTGGCGAGCTTCTGCTGCATCCCATCCTGGCGTCGCTGGGCAAGAGCGAGCAGCATTCGTGGCTTTCGGAGCTGCTGTTTGCCTTCAATGCGGGCGACATTGGTCGATTCGAGGCACTGGCGCCGCATCTGCCCAAGGAGGCGATCCTGGCGGAGAATCTGCCGTTCCTGCGCCAGAAGATCTGCCTGATGGCGCTGATCGAGAGCGTGTTCAAGCGCTCGGCCGACGACCGCACGATTGCGTTCGCAAGCATCGCAGCCGAGACCAAGCTGCCGGTGGACGAGGTGGAGCATCTGGTGATGAAGGCGCTCAGCCTCAAGCTCATCCGGGGCACGCTCGACCAGGTGGAGCAGCTGGCGCGCATCACGTGGGTGCAGCCGCGCGTCTTGGACCACGGCCAGATCCAGGCGCTCCAAGCACGCCTCAAGTCGTGGTGCACAAAGGTGGAAGAGGTGTCGGAATACGTCAAGAACCAGACACGTAAGTTGTCCTCGTTTGCTTCTGCTTGCCTTGCCTCACGCATGCTGACCTTGCTCTCGCTTCCTTTTCGTGCTCCCTTCCGCAACAGCCGAACTCTTCGTCACGGCATAGACATGCCTCGAGCAATCTCAGAGATCTTCGTCACGTGGCTTGAACGTTTGGACAACGGTCAGATGGCGTACCATTGAGCGGGAAAGGCGAGCGACGAAAGCGTGCGATGGCGTGCAAAAGTGTACAGAAGTGGGTGAGCGGCCGATATGCAGATGGATGGAGACAGTGCGAAGAGAGAGAAGGGGGGCTGGAAGCGGACGAGGAGGCGAAAGAGCCAAAAGGGTCTAGAGGACGACACACCTGCACGAGCCAGCGTCGTTGTGTAATGCCTCTTTGGTCTTGCTCTGGGAGATGGCGCCGCCGGAGGAGGCGCCTGCGTTGCGGACGAGCATGGCGGCGCGCGTGGCGGCTTCAAACACGGCGTCGACGCCGTGGTTCTTGAGCGAGCTGCACTCGTGATACGAGCGTGCGCCGATCTGGGCGGCCACCTGCTTGGCGTGGTTGCGGTCGACGTAGTGGCCCTCGACGGGCTTGCCCTTGGCGATGGCATCTTCGCGCAGGTCCTTCTTGCAGCCGACGAGCAGCACGGGCACCGAGGGACCGCATATTTGACGCACCTCCTCCATCCATTTCACCTGTACGTTTTCGAGCGAGTCTGGCGTGTCGATGGCGAATGCGATGAGGATGACGTGTGCTTGCGAGTACGAGAGCGGACGCAGCCGTTCGTACTCCTCCTGGCCTGCGGTATCCCACAGCGCAAGCTGCACGGGTTTGCCGTCGAGTCGGATCTCTGCGACGTAGTTTTCAAAGATGGTGGGCTCGTACTCCTGCGGGAACTCGCCGATGGCAAAGACGCAGAGTAGACTGGTCTTTCCACATGCGCCGTCGCCGACGATGACGAGTTTTCTGCGGATGGGTGCCGGTGACATGCTGGCTGATCAATGTGCGGCAGAGGCAGGCTGAAGCAGCGGAGGAGAGCGTCGGAAGCCCAGCCGATGCAACGATTCAGATCTAGTCGAAGCGCAAGCAAGAGTAGAGACGAGCTGTAGGATTGGTGTCGGAAGGCGGGAGAGGCCGACGTGCGTATCGGACGTGCCTATCAGCCGCTGCTCGCCGGCAGAGTCGAGAGCGGGAGGTCGTGGTGGGTAGGGGCGCCGTCGTCTTGCTTCTACGGATGGTCGCAAGATCAACGATCGAGGAGCCGGTGATGGGCGAAACACAAGCGCGAGGATGAGGAGGATGAGGATGGCCAGTTGCGTCGGTCTCAGCTGGGTAGAGGGAGGAGCGTTTGGAAGATGGTGTGGGTCCTGGTCTTTGGCTGCAATGGAGGCGCCGATGGGTCCCCGTCAATCGAGCGCTTTCTCGCTCACTGCACTGCATCTGCAACTGCACTGCGCAGCTCCGCCCGCCCACCGCGACCATGCGCATCTCCACCTGTCACTGCGACACCAAAATGAGAGAGGGTGCAAATTCCCAGCCGGGCAGTCCGATTCATGAAATGGAATTTCGGCGCGCCCACAGCCACAGCCACACATCCACATCCGCATGCTCCGCAAATGGACCCCCAACACCGCTGCAGTGCGAGAAAGCGACGCAAGTTGGAAATGTCGGAAGGCGGTCCAACCGGAATGCCGCCCGTCATCTCGCCGCCGTCTTGGAACAGACACGAGCGGAAGCGGACGCACTGTCTGTATTAAATCACACGCAAGTGTTCGGACTGGCCGATGGCAGAACGCACACGCCTTCTCGACTGTTCTTCTTCTGCACGGCACAGCCGCAAACGGCTCGCGGGCCACACTGCTGCAGCCGTGCATACGATGGAGCTTCATCACACCAGCGAGAGCGGGGTTTGTGGAGGCCGAGCCCCTTTTGGGCGTAATTTCCTCGCAACGATGTGAGATTGAAAGGACCGCGCACATCGCCAGATTCGGTGCATTGCATTCCCGATTGCCGCACTTCAGGGCCGCAGCCTGGCCCTGAGCGAAATTTTCGATGCGAACTTTTTGACTCTCTCCCGCAACGCTGTGGAGGAGGGTCCGGACCAAAATCAACTTTTTTTTTTTTTTCCTTGCCTCCTCCTCCACTGCAGCCAGGAATTTGTCGGGTCGTGTGGGCTTTTTCCAAGGCTCAGCCCGAGAGAAGAAAGCCGTTAGCAAAGAGAGCCAAAAGTCGACATTTCGTTTGCCTTCCACCTCGGCTTCTTCCTGTACGCACTCTCACATGCACTCCCTCCTCCATCCACCATCCATCCCTACCCGGCGTTGATCGCACCCATCGCTCATCCACGAGCGTCACAAGACACGCCTTCGAGTCTTCTAGACCGCCCTCTTCCAGTGCGGACGTGGCCACCATCTCGGATCCACCGCTGCCCGCCACCACCTCTGGAAAAACGGCCTTAGGCTCCCTTGCGATTCCGCCACCGGACATCCGTACGACTCTGGGGCAACATCCACCATAGATCACCATGATCGCAAAACAGGCTTCGCTCGCAAGAGCCTCTTCCGCCTCGGTCCTCTCCGCATCCACCTCTTCGACAAGATGCATGCGTCTCCCATCCACAAGCGCGACTGCGCCACCCGCCTGGCTAGCTCGCCGTTCGCCTCTCGCGCCGCAGTCCTTGGCATTCAGCACCAAGGGCCCTCGCAGTCAGGCGATCCCAGCAGCACAGACGCATGTCGACCATCAGGAGCCTCATGACTCGTCTTCCGCCGCCTCCTCCGCCGCATCATCAAGCTCCACCGCCTCCCAAGCATCGTCATCATCCCATCCTTCAGCATCCTCGTCGCGCTCCGATCGCCGCTCCAGATTCATGCCCTTCGCATTCGCAACAGGCTCCCCTCTCACCCGCCTACCCACCCCATTGCCACAGGACGTCGCAGAACGCTCCGCTCTGCTCAGACGCCAACTCCAGCCCAAAACCAAGGCAGGAACTCCCATCCCTACCACCTCGCCTTCGCTCTTCGGCGATACCATGGCCGGCCTCTCCTTTGGCGACCTCTCCGGTCTCACCATGAGCAGCGCAGATGAGTCCTACTATCCGGCCAACAAGGCCGTAGAGTACGTCAGCATCCTCAAGGCCTGTCTCGGCACCGGCCTCATCAGCCGCGCACACAAGGTCTTCGCAGACCTCCGCACCCAGGCCGCCTCTCGCTCCCGCGAACTCTGGGAGCTCCGCCAGCGCCTCGCGCAAGGCATCGTCAACCAGAACGACCGTCACCAAGACCTCGGCGAGCTCGGCGCCTACCAGTCGCCCATCGAAGTGTGGACCTACAACTCCATGCTCCAGGCCTACTTTCGAAAGGCCTACCAGGCCGAGTCCTTGGAAGGCACCGCCGAATGGCTCACCCGCGCCTGGGAGCTCTGGAGAGACATGGAGAACGCCTCGAGAGCCGCTGAGCTCGATCAGCCACCCTCGCCAGACCCGAGCCCCAATCCGGCCACCTATGCCATCATGGCCCGCGGCATCGTCGCCCTCCAGCGCTCCGGTCGCTATCCCTCCACAGCACCAGCCCTCAACGACCTCGTCCTCTCCATCAAGCGCGCAGACTACGGCCTCGACAGCATCCTCACCTCGCCCGCCTTCAACCCGCAATCCGCGGAGGACCCCGACGTCACCGGCCCTCTCGGATCCACCAGCGTCGACCAATCTCGCGAGGGCGAAGTAGACGCAGAGGTCGTCCTTCGCAGCCTCACCACCGTCGCCAACCAGATGGGCGAGACCGGCATGCTCAAGGAACTCGAGACCGCCCAGAGCATCCTCGAAGGCCGCAGAGTGCTCTCCGAGGCTCAGTCTAGCGAACTGCCTTCCAATCACGATCCGCTTGCCGACGTCCCCGAGCTTCTGCCCGTCAAGACCACCTCCAAGGCGAGTCGCCTGGGCAACGAGCCCGACAACAAGGAAGGCGAGATGCCATTCAACCTCGCCTCGCTCAAGGGCAACCTTTCCATCGTCCAGGAGGCCCGTCGCACCATCAGCGACCCCTACGAGCGCCAAAAGTGGCTCGAGCACAGCGCCGTCGAGGCTGCGCGCAAGCGACTCGAGCACTCTGCCGAGAAGCTCGAAGAACTCGGCCTGCAAACCACCGGCGCGCTGCAATCCAAGCCTCTCCAGAAATGGATGTGGGACTGGTACAACAAGCTGCAAACCGCCCTCAACAAGGACCTCGATCGCCTCGACTCCGACCTCAAGAACGACGTGCACGCAACCAAGGCCATGCTTCCGAACGAACAGCAAATGCTGCCCTTCCTCCGCCTTCTCCCCGTGTCCAAGCTCGCTCTCATCACCATCCTCGAGCTCATGCGCATGAGCGGAAACGGTGGCGTCTCCGACGGCATGAAGACCACCCGTGCCTTGCTGCAGGTCGGCCGCGCCATCGAGACCGAGTACCATTCCGAAGTCATCCGCAAGAACCCAAAGATCTTCCAAAACGCCCAGGCAGCACAGGCAGCGCTCAAGAAACGCGGCCTCGTCGACTTTGCCGCCCGTCGCGAGATCAAGGAGTGGCAAAAGCAGCAGGAAGAGCAGGGCGTCATGTCGTCCATTCCCAAGTGGACCCAGATCACTCGTGCGCGTGTCGGAAGCTACTTGGTACAGCACCTCATGCAGGTGGCCACCGTCAACCGCAAGGCCACCGACCGCGACGGCATCCTTTGGGAGGAGGACCAGCCTGCCTTCTACTCCACCTACCAGTACCTCGGAGGAAAGAAGCTCGGCGTCATCAAGCTCAACGAGGTCGTCGCCAAGCGTCTCGACAAGGATTCCATCTCCGAGACGTTACACCCTCGCCACCTTCCCATGCTCGTGCCTCCCAAGCCGTGGACCTCGCATGATTCTGGCGGATACTACTCGGTCCGACAGAGCGCAATGCGCTTCAAGGACAGCGCCGAACAGGGCTCGTACCTCCGCGCCGCCTCCGACAACGGCGACCTCGACACCGTGCTGGCCGCGCTCGACGTCCTTGGGAACACGTCCTGGAAGATCAACAAGCCCATCTTCGACGTCATGCTCGAGGTGTGGAACTCGGGCAAAGACGTTGCAGACATGCCGCCCATGGAGATGGAGACGCCCGAGCCAGTCAAGCCGGACAACTACGATCACGACATCAAGGCGCGCTCCGTCTACCTCCAGCGACTCAAGCAGTGGAACCAGCAGCGCTCCTCCAACCACTCGCAGCGTTGCGACGTCAACTACAAGCTCGAGATTGCACGCGCCTACCTCGGCGAGCGCTTCTACTTCCCACACAACATGGACTTCCGCGGCCGAGCCTACCCCATGCCGCCCCACCTCAACCACATCGGCAACGACCTTTGCCGAGGTCTGCTCATGTTTGCAGACAGCAAGCCGCTCGGCAAGGCCGGTCTGCGTTGGCTCAGGATCCACATCTCCAACGTCTTTGGTTACGACAAGGCCAGCTTCGGCGAGCGTGAGCAGTTTGCCATCGACCACGAGGCCGACATCCGCGACAGCGTCGAGCGCCCGCTCGACGGAAACCGCTGGTGGCTCAAGGCCGACGACCCGTGGCAGTGTCTTGCTGCGTGCATGGAGCTTCGCGCCGCGCTCGACCATCCCGAGGGACCCGAGGCGTACGAATCCTGCCTTCCCGTCCACCAGGACGGTACCTGCAACGGTCTGCAGCACTACGCTGCGCTTGGTGGTGATCTTGCGGGAGCCAAGCAGGTGAACCTGTCCGGTGGCGACCGTCCGGCTGACGTTTACTCCGGTGTGGCGGACCTGGTGATCAAGGTGCTCGACGAAGAGGCAGCCAAGGGCGACCGCACCGCAAAGATCCTGCAGGGCAAAGTGACGCGAAAGGTGGTCAAGCAGACGGTCATGACCACCGTTTACGGTGTCACCTTCATCGGTGCCAAGAACCAAGTCATGCGTCAGCTGGCAGACCGAGGCGACGTGCCAGCCGAGGACCTCTTCAACGCGGCGAGTTTCCTTGCCAAGGTGATCATGTCGTGCATTGGCAACCTTTTCTCCGGCGCACAGAAGATTCAGGACTGGCTGAGTTTCTCGGCCAAGGTGATCGCCAAGTCGATCCCCGGACAGCGAGTCGAGGAAGCCACCCGACCCTACCTGCCGAACGAGGCCAACCTGCGACGTGCCGACGTGCGTGGATTCTCTCGCGATCCTGCCAAGGCGGATCGTATTGCCAAGGAGCAGATGACCTCGGTCATCTGGACCACGGCGCTGGGCCTGCCCGTCGTGCAGCCGTACCGCAAGGCCAAGAAGCGCCAGGTGTCGACGTCGATGCAGACCGTCTTCATCAACGACCCGCTTCTGAACGCCGAGGTCTCGCCGGCCAAGCAGGCGTCCGCGTTCCCGCCCAACTTTATCCACAGCCTGGACGCGACGCACATGATCCTGACGGCGCTCGAGTGCCATGCGGCCGGTCTCACCTTTGCCTCGGTGCACGACTCGTACTGGACGCACGCTGCGGACATCGACACCATGTCGGATATGATCCGCGAGACGTTTGTGCGTCTGCATTCGCAAGACATCCTCTACCGCCTGCGCGAGGAGTTCCTGCAGCGCTACGAGGGCTACAAGGTGCCCGTCGTTTCGCTGCAGGCGGCGCAGCGTCGTCGACCGCGCTCCAAGGCCACTGCGGTCGAAGATGGCGTCTCGTCGACGTCGTCGCCTTCGGAGACGGTTCTTGCCATGCCAGCCGACGAGCTTGCCAAGCTTGAGGGCGATGAGGGCGAGTTGATCCTCGGCAAGCCGTCCAGGGAGGCGGCCGAGGAGGATGGCGACGATGTCGACAGCGCCGAAGCCGCCGCCACCGAGGAGGGCCAAGACGCCGAGGCGGCAGCGCAGGCACCAGCCAAGAAGACGCGCAGCCGCAAGTCCAAGGCGGAGAAGGACGAGGAGTGGGAGTCCAAGTTCAAGGCCAAGTTTGTCAACCTCGCCGACATCCTGCCGCCCATCCCGGCCAAGGGCTCGTTCGACGTCAACGAGATCAAGCGTTCGCTCTACTTCTTCTCCTAAACCACCATCCGAATTTGCACTCTCTCGCGTCACTCATCTCTCTCGCTCAGATAGACTTGTTTTAATCCCATTTGTACTCTTTTCAATGCATCAACGCGCATCTTCCACGCAGGTTCGGGATGTGGAATTGACACGAGGCTTGGGACTAGGATCGGATGGGGGCGTGCTTGGCGAGGTACGAGGGCTGGTCCCAGAGGCTGGCGACGAGTTTGCGCGGGCCGGTCCAGGGGGTTCGTGCGTGCTGGACGGCGAGGTTGTCGATGACGAGCACGTCGCCCTGGTGCCACTCGACGTGCGCCTGGAGGTCCTCGGTTGTGCGATGCGCGGTTTCAAGCCACTCGAGTGGGATCGTTTCGTCTTCCTCGGTGGAATCGCCGTCGAGCGGGCGCGGGAAGGAAGGTGGCGGGAAGAAGTCTTTCTTTTCGCTCGAATAGTGCGGGGGGTCCAGACAGCCGTGTTGCTTCGAGTAGGCGTAGCGGTTGCCGACATTGTTGAAGTAGGCAGGCCGACCGAGCGTCGGGTGGACACGAATGCCGGGCACGCGCTGAAACACGTTGATCGATCCATCCTCGAGCCAGGTCCACGAAAACCCGCGCTGATGCCATGCTCCCAACTTGCCCTCTGCATCCTCGTCGGTGGTCGTCTGACCCCAGCCGCCCTCTCTCGCCAGATCGAGGATGTTGTCTTCGACCAGCTGGCGCTTTTCGGCCTCGGTGAGCTGGGTGAGGTCGATCCTGTCCTCGGGAGTAGGGCCGAACGAGTCCGGGTTGTACAGGCTGTTGCCCTGCACCGAGTCCTTGACCTTGGCTACGGGATGGTGGATGATGAAAGTCAGGCCGCGCCGGGTGATCTTTTCGACGTAGCCGGGCACGCTCGAGTTGAGCCTGTCGTAGAGCGCCAGACTGTTGGCGATGGGCGTCTGACCGCCCGAGGTGGGCGCCGAGAGACAGCAAAAGGCGATGACCGAGGGATAGTGCGTCGAAAGACCGTACTCGTTGTGCGATCCAATCGACTGATGCGGAGGCCCCTCATTGGCCGTGGCCACGTTGGGCGCCATCTGATGGCGGATCACCATGAGACCCTTATCGACATGCGCATGCCACAGGTTGCGAGCCTCTTCTGGCTCGCCGCCCGACCGAGAAGCACCTGCCAAGCTGTGCATGAAGTCGCTAAAGTCGTCGGCGCTGCGAATGGGCAGCCCCTTGAAGTGCACTGCGCCTCCGTGCGCATCCATGAGCTCTTGCAGCCTCGACGGTCGATACTCGCTGGCGGGCGCAGGCGCAAGCGAGCGCACCGATTCGACAATCTCGGGCGTGGTCAAAGGCTCAGCGCTGCCGTTTGTACGCACGGGTCGAACGATGAGTGGAAATGTGACCTCGCGCTCGTTGGGATCGTTCTGAACCAACTTCAGCCGGCGCTGGTAGGGCTCGGAAGCAGGCGCAAAGGCGATGTTGGAGTCGCCTCGCACGAGGCCATCCTGCGCCACTTGCTTTGTTGAATGCGCTGGCGCATCTAGCGTTGAGGCTCTGACCGCGACTGGAGCCATCTTGGGTGAAGCTTAGATGGGGTTGATCGTAACAAGTCAAGAGGTGGTCTGAGCCTGTTCAGCTGGATCAGATCTCAGTCACCGTCCCGGAGAGCTGGGTTTAGCCGGTGGCTTCAGCACGACCGGATCGGTGGTCGGATGGCCCCTGCATAGTTGGACCGAAGCCATTGCAGGTCTCGACATCACGGCTTGGCACGACAGTTACATTGCCGGTAAAGCGGTGGTGTGCTGCATCGCTTGTCGCCTAAAGTGTGGGGTAGCACGCCATCGCGAGGTCCTCGTGGGGGGAGCTGTCGAGGCTTCGGGCCAACCTGTCAAGCTGTCGATCGGGCATGATCTGATTGAGAGAAAGACAAGTGTAGGCCGATCAGATCGCAAGTGGCTGTAATATATTGTTAGACCGAAGCACAATTGGATCCAAAACCGCGACCACCAAAGCCGCTTTCCCCCGCGATGGGTGTAGAAGGCCTGCCCGTATGCCCCCGAAGCATTCAGTCCATTCGGGTGCAGGAGAACTTCACGACATCGGGCTGATCCGCGCGTGAACGATAGAAAGCGAGGCTGAAGCTCGACTTGAAGCCTGACTGTTCGGCATAAACGGACAGGTGGTGCAGTCGCAGTTTGCTGGTCAAGCTCCGTGAATGCCTTTGCCAGTCGCCTCGGAAAGATCCTTCTGGCTTTCCGGATCGAACGACACAGCGACGGCCCTCCGCTTGCACCCGCATCTCCACCCGCACCCCGCACTAGGCTCATGCGCTCCTGCCCCTCTCTCTTTCACCCGCCAAATCGGAAGCAAACACACCCGGAGCCCCTACCGGATGTATTGCATTGTGTCGAGAATCCAAGGCGGCGGCGGCAGTGAGCGGGCTGAAGCGTGGTGACGCCAGTCAGCCTCCCCCTGCCTGTCTGCCGCTTTGCACTGTGTAGCCTCCTCCTTTTGCGACTGCTGCTCGGCTTCTCGCCCGACTACGCTTCACTCGGCCGTTGCTTACTGTGCTCAGATCTGATCGACTAGCACACCGCAGCATACCCAACAAATCAGCGCTCGGTGATAAGAAGAAAGTGCAGCCAAAAAAGGAGAGAGAAAGTCTCACCGAGAGAGAGTCACTGTTGCGCCGAGGAGAGAGCGAGCAGGCAGGGTCTTGCGAGGCGCAGCGCAACTGCACTGATCTTCAAGTGATAACGTTGCTCAGAGGCTCCACATGACCCTTGGAGTTCAAGTGCTGCGCGGCTTTTTTTGAAATGGGGATTAGATGTCTTTTTCAAAGCTGGACGCTCGGATCAGCTTGATTGGGCAGTGGAGCCAAGAGCGATCAGCCCGTGCATTTCCAAGAGCTTCTGCGCTGGGAGAGCGCAGAGAGAGTGGGCATTATTCAGAAGATCGATTGTTCACAGTCGAGAGGAGCAGGCGGACCTGCGCGGTCACCGCGGTGCTCTCCGGGCCCGTCAGCAGTCATCCTTTGGCTCGGCTCGCTCCGCCACTGGCTTTGCGCAGAGGCCAGCCAGCAGCACCAGCAGCAGCAGCAGCAGCAGCAGCGAGCAGTGTTGGGCGACGCAGACCCGCACCCTCCTGCAGGCGCAAAGCGATCAAAAGTGCGTGTCCGCTTCGTCTCTTCTTCCTTCTGCTCCACCATCGAATCTTCTTCGTGTCACACTCCCCATCCATCATCTCAAAAATGTCCCAGGTCAACATCGGTATCAACGGGTAAGCATCTTCCTCGCTCCCTCCTCCTCCTTTGACTTCGGCGTCGGCTGCGTTCGTCGTTGCCCAAACGTGCCGGGCGGTTAGCTCCATGCGTTGACCGCAAGGGAGTTGCTCAACCGGCGCAGCTCGGTTGTCGTCGCTCGTGACCGGTGTCATCGCAAGCTCTGCTCCGGCAGCTTGTGCGGCAACGCTGAAAAGCGCCGACATCGAACGGGAGCATTATTTGACAGCGGAGAGGCGAAAGTCTAGTCGTCCGAATGCTCCTTTCGGGCGCTCGCAGCTGCTCTGGAGGTATGACGAGAAACGCCAAAGAACGAGGCGCTGACGCCTGGTCGCTCTGCTCCTATTTGTAATTACACAGCTTCGGCCGCATTGGACGTATCGTCTTCCGTAACTCGGTCGTCCACAACAGCGCCAACGTTGTTGCCATCAACGACCCCTTCATCGACCTCGAGTACATGGTCTACATGCTCAAGTACGACTCCACCCACGGTGTCTTCAAGGGCGACGTCTCCACCAAGGACGGCAAGCTCATTGTCAACGGCAAGGAGATCGCCGTCTTCGCCGAGAAGGACCCCGCCAGCATCCCCTGGGGCAAGGCCGGCGCCCACTACGTCGTCGAGTCCACCGGTGTCTTCACCACCATCGACAAGGCCTCGGCCCACATCAAGGGTGGCGCCAAGAAGGTCGTCATCTCGGCCCCCTCGGCTGACGCCCCCATGTACGTCTGCGGTGTCAACCTCGACTCGTACGACCCCAAGGCTCAGGTCGTCTCGAACGCCTCGTGCACCACCAACTGCCTGGCTCCCCTCGCCAAGGTCATCCACGACAAGTTCGGCATCGTCGAGGGTCTCATGACCACCGTCCACGCCACCACCGCCACCCAGAAGACCGTCGACGGCCCCTCGGCCAAGGACTGGCGTGGAGGCCGTGCTGCGGCCGCCAACATCATCCCCTCGTCCACCGGTGCCGCCAAGGCGGTGGGCAAGGTCATCCCTTCGCTCAACGGCAAGCTCACCGGCATGGCCTTCCGCGTGCCCACCACCAACGTCTCGGTGGTCGACCTCACCGCCCGCCTCGAGAAGGGCGCCAGCTACGACGAGATCAAGGCCGAGATCAAGCGCGCCTCGGAGAACGAGCTGAAGGGCATCCTCGGCTACACCGAGGACGCCGTTGTGTCGCAGGACTTCATCGGCAACCCTCACTCGTCCATCTTTGACGCCGCTGCCGGTATCTCGCTGAACAACAACTTTGTCAAGCTGGTTTCCTGGTACGACAACGAGTGGGGCTACTCGAACCGATGCCTTGACCTGCTCGTCTTCATGGCCCAGAAGGACAGCGCGTAGGTACGCTCCCTACGTCTCTCTCCCCTTGTCCCTTCTCCAATGTTTCGACGTTGATGATGCGCGCGTGCCGTGCGTCGGCTCGTGTATCCTCGCAAAAGCAATCGAATCACGTCTTTCTCTATGCTTTTCTGGTCCTGGTTCTGACTATCGGCTGTCTCTCTTTTCTTCTTTGCTTGCCTGGCTGGACGGTGGATGTGACTCCAGTGGAACTTCGAGGCTGTAGACGGTGGCTTGCGAAATGGCAGCGTCTTGATTCGAACGAACTGCGCGTGGACCGCAGGATGGAAATTTCGAAATGCGAGAGTGTGAGATCGGGCTTGAAAAAGCCGCGGAGCTGGGAGGACGGCGGGGATGGCTGGAGCGACGCGCAAGCCGCGGGAAAGGCGACGGCTGTAGCGCTCGCCGTTACTGCAGGCTGTCAAGAGGGATCCGGACTCGAACGTCCTCGTGGCGCCGGCTGTTGGGATTCGATGCTGAGTGTACCCGGTGAGCGGTTCGATGCTGAGTGTTCTTTTGGTGCGCGGTGCGCGGTGGAGGCCGAAGGTCATGCTGGGCGGAAGATCGCTTTGCGTTACCACATCTGACCTCGTTCGCTTCCCGCGGCCGCAAAGCAGAGCCAGGGAGAATTTTTAAGCTTGCAAACAGGCACCAGACGTGCTGCAGCGAGTGCAAAAATTCTCCGATCTGGTGGAGAGCGAGGAGCACGCGTCAGATGCGGCTCTGACGTAGATCCCTACCGCGATCCGCGGCAAGATGCACTCGCCAGACCGCGGGTCGTCGCACTGGCTGCTTACCACACACGTGAGCGCATACTCCCATACAAGCCCTTCCGTGACGACATGAAGGGCCCGCGGGAAATTTTAGTCTGACTCCGTCCTGCCAAAGTGCCGCTCAGCCTTCCTCGCACAAGCCCAGATCTTGGCAGCTGGGCCCACACGGCCTACGGTCGCAAAGCCGCATGTAGACAGCTTGGCGAGAGCCCTTGTGCGGGTCCAGCGCCCTGGAAATGCCGCGGATACCGGTCAATCGGCACCAAGTGCGCGTCAAGGCGCGTCAGACTGCCCTTTCATTTCGAGAAACGTCAAAGATCGCAACGGCCGTAAGCATGGCCCGCCCATGGAATGCTAGCTTATAAAAGCACTCGGTTTGATGTCCGGACCATCGTTTGTCGACCTTTTCCCCACCGACTGCGAACATTGAGCTCCCGTACCGACCAAAGCACTGCAACTTTCCAACATGGCGCAGACATCCTCCAGCAATCACCATGACACCGCCAAACAGTCTCACCGGGCTCAACTGCCTTGGTACCAGGACACGGTGTGGGGCGTCATGATCAACAAGCTCTCCCACGGCAAGAGTCTGCCTTACCCAGAACAAGAGGGCAACTTTGTAGCCCCGGAAAGGTATCAGCCTGGCTACAGGACACGGCATGCCTCCGAGGCCTCGTCGCCCTCTCCTGCCTCGCCTGCCTCGCCTTCGTCGTCCTCGTCGTCTGCCTCAGGGGTCTCCGGGCCGACACGAGTCGACAGCGACGATGCTCCAGCCACAACCAAGCCCGGAAAGGCTCATGACGACAATGCAGAGTCCGCACCCGACGACGAGAACGACGACTCGCACCCCTACCTCGTCGATTGGGATGGTCCCAACGACCCCGACAACCCGCTCAACTGGACCTCGGGACGCAAGTTCTTCGTCACCGGCCTGCTGTGTCTCCTCACCTTTTCGGTCTACATGGGCTCGGCCATCTACACGCCCGGTGTTGAGCTGGTTGCCGCCTACTTTGGCGTCGGCACCGTCACTGCCACACTCGGCTTGACGCTCTTCGTCTTCGGATACGGTCTCGGACCCATGGTCGGTCTTTCGTCCATCTCCGAGATTCCCGCCATCGGTCGCTCTGCACCCTACCTGGTCACGCTGTTCATCTTTGTGATTCTGCAGATCCCCACGGCGCTCGTCAACAACATCGCCGGGTTCATGATCCTTCGATTCCTCGCCGGATTCTTTGGTTCGCCTCCGCTGGCGACGGGCGGTGCTTCGATCGGCGACATGTACAGCCCGCGCGTGCGTCCGCTCGCCATTGGTGTCTGGGGTCTCTCGGCTGTGTGTGGACCCGTGCTCGGGCCGCTCATCGGTGGCTTTGCTTCGCAGAGCTTCGGAGAAGAGGGTTGGCGCTGGACCATCTGGCCCCTCCTCATGCTGTCGGGATTCAGCTTGGTCGTCCTCATCATCGCCTTGCCAGAGACCAGCGCGTCCAATATCCTCTTCAGACGCGCCCAGAGGCTTCGAAAAGTCACCGGAAACCCCCACCTCCGCACCAAGGGCGAAATCTTTTCTGCGCACCTCACCGGCAAGGAACTCGCCCTCATGACATTCGTCCGTCCCTACGTCCTCTCCTTCACCGAACCTATCGTCCTCGGCGTCAACCTCAGTATTGGCCTTGTCTACGGCGTCCTCTACTTATGGTTTGAGGCGTTTCCCCTCGTCTTTGTCCAGACGTACGGCTTCAATCCGGGCGAGCTGGGTCTGGCTTTCATGGGCATTTTTGTCGGCGCGGTGGTCATCTACTACCCGTTCTACCTCTGGGTCAAGCGCTCGTACCAGCCGCTCTTCGACAAGCAGAACGGCAAGGTGGCTCCGGAGAAGTGGCTCGAGCCTGCCATCGTCGGAACTTGGGCCATCCCTATCTGCCTCTTCGGTTTTGGATGGACGGCGACGGCGAGCATCCATTTTATGGTCCCTATAGTGCTATCGGCCTTCTTCAGCATCGGTACCTTCCTCATCTTCCAGTCGGGTCTCTCGTACCTCGGCGACTGCTATCCGGAGTACATCGCGAGCGTATACGCCGGCAACGACTTTTTCCGTGCGGCGATCGGAGGTGCACTGCCGCTCGTGGCGCGCGCCATGTTCAACAACCTGCAGAGCAACGGTCCGCGCGCGTTCCCCGTCAGCTGGGGCTGCACCTTGATCGGATGCGTCTCCATCCCCATGTGCTTCATCCCGCTCTTGCTCCATAGGTACGGCCCCAAGCTCCGCTCCATCTCCAAGTACACCGTCCACGGCGGCGCAAATGGCGCGAACGGCGCCAACGGCCAGTCGGAAAAAAATTAAAGACGCAAAACAATTAAATTAAATGAAACGCTGGCTTGCTTCCCGAGACGGCTTCATTAATCTCTCCGCATCCAGCCTTACCCACACCCTTCCGCTCCCTTGCACAATCATCGTCTATACCTCTTGTCCGTCAAAGTAACACGACTACATCATGCATCGCCACGAGTTACAGAAATACCTATTTGGATTGCAGCATTTCTTTTGATCTGGCTGGGTCTTGCTTGCTGCGTACGAGACATTGCCTATTGCTGATGTGAACAAACCGTTAGCCCGACTTTGCCGTGACCTGACTTTGACGGCCTTGAAGCTCCACTGGCTTGGTATCAGGACTCATTCGGGAGCATCCTGGTTAATGTCACTGCAAGAGCCTTCATTCTCAGAGGGAAGGAGCGACTCAGAATCGAGTTGTTTGCCGTCCTCCTCCGAGTGATCATCGTGATGCCGACCGAGCGAGTTCAGCCCGGCCCACTGCCGACGGGCAATGAAGGGGGAAAAACTCTTATCGACCCACTCCTTCATCACATGATTCAGCCCCCAACATCCTAATCTGTGAATGCCACGCTCTTTTTCAGCGCGCCCTCTTTGCTTCATCGCCAAACGCCACGTCGAATGCCTTCTCTGAGTCACGCTTGCGACCTACGTTACCCAGGCTGACCGGTTTGCGGTCGCGGCTTTAAAAGCGGCGAGTCTGCCCTCCCTTCGTGACTCTTCTTACCACGCCAGCAACCCAGCCCCGAGCCCGTCGCCATAGCTACAGAGACTCGCGAGCGCGACACATCTATGCGCGATGGCAGCCGCCCGTCTTCCCCGGTGGAGCAGCATAAGCGACCAGCAAAGACAGGCCGTACCTCAGTATCGTCTCGAGGTGAACCTGGCCACACCTCGGTGGCTGATAGTATCCGCGCGCCAATCAAGAATCAGTCAAGGACCTCTTTTCCTGACATCCCGCGCATCACTCCTGGCAGCCTGCAAGCTCGCCCATCGCGCGATGCGTCGGCCTTGGGCTTGGACGCCGAACCCATCATCACAGAAGAACAGCCATCCTGCTACACGCCACCTCAGCGCCCTCCGCGGACCCCTAGCGCCGACCTAGGTCTCAACCCCGGCAATGGCTTCCGCCACATCTGGCCAAAGGCGTCTTCAACACCGTGGTCGTTCCGAGACTTACCAAATCCTCGCCACTCGCATACAGTTGACGCTAGCACTATCCGGTACCGCTTCAACGGCAGGTCTCTCTCTGAAAGCCAGGAGAAAGAAGCCAAGGCTGCCATCCGCGCGCAGCTACACGCTGCTGGCGTTGAGGTGTCGACCTACGAGCCCGTCTTCCGGTTTCTGCTAGGCCCAAACCGCGGCACATTCCTGGACCTCAGATTCCGCACCGAGGCGATGTACTACAAGACCTGGCCAGTACGTCTGACCTGGCAGGACCGCCACCTTGAATTGCACTCGGCTGGCGTTCCTCTCCGCGAGAACGTGTTCTTTGTGATCGTTGGAAGCCTTCGGACCAATGCCAACCTCCCAAAGTTTCGCAAGGCCTTCCGCGAACGCTTCACATTCGACCTTACGGTTACCGACATGTTTGCAGACTTCACCGTTGGCCAAGACAAGACTCGCAGCTTCAATGGCTCGGTCGCCTTCTTGGCAACGTACCAAAGTGCGGCCAACGGCAACGCATACATTCCTGGATGGATGAACTTTGAAGACATGGAATTGCCCCTGTACTTCCGCGGCCGAGGCAAGGCTTGCAGGTTCTGCCGAACGAAGAGCCACCCGCGTCATGAACCTAAGGACTGCACCTTTCGGCCATGTCGCCGATGCAACAAGACCGGCCACCCGCTGCGCCTTTGCCCCATGCGTCCCGTGGCTCGCGAGGGTGCTCAGCAAGCGAGCAGTGCAAGACCACATGTGTTCTACACGCCAGCCATAGAATAGAGCCGCCAACCGAACAAGCCACCCCTCGCTCATTTTGCCATGCCTCGTAGCGATGCATGGTTCAGTTTCGACATGAAGTCACCATGTCGACTCCGTCACAGCGCGCAAAATACAAACACATGCGCGGTTGGCAAGTCGCACCTCAGCGCTGGACTTTCTCTCACCGAGTCTCGGCATCCGAGTCTCGGCATCGGCCACAGACAGCTTTTGCAAACACAGGGATTGGATTGCGCGCGGGATAGACATGCGGAGCCGGATCAGTGCCAGTCGATGTACTCGATGTCGTACTCGGAGCGCACCTTGCTCAGGCGGTCCCAGTACGACGCGGGCAGGTGGGCAATCATGCGGTTGATGACGGGCGTGCGCTCGAGGAACCAGAAGTAACCGGGCAGATTGACCTCGGGTCCGACGCCGCCGCGGTCGAGATGCGTCACAATGTTGACCGGCGTGAACTTCGCCAGCGCCGTGCCGGGGCCCGTGTAGACCTTGCGGATGTCGTTCGACAGCTGCACCTCCTGGCCGACGTGCGCAAAGTGCAGCTGGCTCGTGGGACTGATGTGCTTGAGCGTATTGAAGTCGCCGGCGTCGGGCATCATCGTCGCAATCGAGTCGCGGCGGCTCGTGACGCGCCACAGCGCCTGCGGGTGGTCGAGATCGCGGTCGTGGCAGGCCTGATTGAAGGCCGAGATGCAGTCCGGGTCGCCGACAATGGGCGTGCCAAACGTGTAGGCGTCGCGGACATACACCTGGTTGGTTCCCTGCTCGTTGAGACCAAAGTCCCTGGGCCGGGCAATGGCACGTGAGTAGAAGACGCAGGCCAGAGCAGCTCCCAGACTGTGGCCGGTGACGTACATGTTGACGTGGTCCTTGCCCGTCGTGGCGCGGATCTGACGAACAATGTCCGCGACAGACGCGCGGATCTGCGAGTAGGGGAAGGCGCCCGTCTTCTTGTTGAGCGACTGCGGGAAGAGCTGGTTGTAGAAGCCCGCGTGTGCCTTGGTGTATCCGGGCAGCCAGCCGCGGCCGTCGACGTAGTCAAACGTCATGTCGATCGCCCACTCCTTGAACTCGACCGGGTTGGTGCCCTTGAAGACCAGGATCAGAAAGTTGTAGTCCGGGTTCCAGAACGCTCCGCACAGAGGCGACGTGTTGGTGGCCAGCTCGGAAACGCTGACGTAGTTGAGTCCCCACTCTTTGGCCACCTTGATGATCTTGCGGTCGGCCGAAGCGAGCTTCTTGTAGGCGTCCTTGCCGGCGTCGGTGAGCGTGTCGCTGCCCATGAGAAGGCTCTTCTTCAGCTTCTTGGCCTTGTGCGCCGCCACGGCAGCTTCGTGGTAGGCTCCCACGTCACGCTCGTACACCAGCGCCGAGAGCATCATGAGGATCTTGCAGATCTCCAGGTCAAAGGAGCGCTGCTGGTCGGTCGAGGGCTGAGCGTACGTTCCGGTGGGTTCGGACATGACTGTGAAGGCTGCATCGCGGATGAGCTTGTTCTGGGGATCGGCGCCAAACTCGAAGATGAGAGGATAGACTGCAAGTGGGAACGGCAAGATGGTCAGCATCGACAATCCAGGCTCGCAATCGTTAGCATATTTGCACGGAGATACCTACACATGTTGGGTAGACCGATGTCCTTTTTGTTCGAGTACGGTCGCCAGTACGCCTGCACAATGGGGAGCCTCCAAATGGCGCTGGATGAGACGGTCAAGTGACAGGCGGAACGCGTGAGAACGTCAGCAAATGGAAAGGAGGCGAGTGAGGTCAATGGTAGGGACGCTTACCTGATCGTGAGTCCGATAAGTAGGATGATCGTGGTTCCGAAAGCGAAGATGAGGGTGGTGCCGAGACCCAGAGGGTCGAGCAGGTAGCCAGGCAAGCTGGTGAGCGTGATCCACCAGGTTCGAGGGAACCACACAAAGAGGTAGGTGTAGAGGTCCGACAGAGTGGTGCGGAACCAGCCGAGGATGCCGGGGCCGCTCTCCGAGATCTTGGCGAGATCGGCGACCTGCCTTTTGCGGAGGTGCTCGGTGAGATCGGCATGTTTGCCGCTGAGCGCCGGGCCGAGGAGACGGCGAGTCTCTTCGGTGGCAGCCGGAGCACGCTGCTTGCGCTCCTCGGTAGCTTCGGGCGACATGGCGGCAGACATGCGGACAAGTCGTGCTGAAGTCGATATCGGTCGAGACAGGGAAAGACGCAGGCGGAGGTGGTCTGAGAGGCAGCGTCGAGCGAATGTGCTTCTGACCTGCTGGAAAGAGACGTCGAGGGTGTCGGAAGGCCCTTTAAGTAGTTAAGTAGCTGGGTCGGCGGACTGAAGCTTCGGAGGGCGCAGCAGAATTCGTTGCGTTCGTCAACGCTGAATGAGACGGGCGGGGGGCCGATGTCGGAGGGCCCGAGGAGGGATGCGCAGGTCACCCTCTCGCTGTCGTGGCACAGTCCAGCCGGCCAAGGTCAAAATGGAAGCAGAACTGTGACCGTACTTCGGATGCCGGGCGTAGTGACTGAAAATGGATGAGGATCGGAAGGAAGGAACGACGGCGGGAAAGATAGCTGCCGTGCGAACTTTAAAGTTTTCACACCGATGATTGCGTGTTGCCTTGGCTCTGACAACCACAGCCAAGCTGCGACCCGTGTGTATCTGCGGGAAAGTCAGCGACCTGATTCATGCGAGCCACCACGCTCTTGTGTGTGAGGACACGGTCACTGCCTGAGCGTCGACTCCACCGCCAGAAGCTCACGGACCCGCCCTTTCGATGACGGACGCTGAGCCTGCGACAGACTTGATTCTTCGGGGCTTTACAGCGGCTCCATCCGACCAAGGGTCTGCGTTGGAAGGTGTTGCTGCGGTTCCTGGGGACTTGGGCGGCGACAGCAGAGTTGCGTCTCGTCAACCTCCACGTTCTCACGCCGAGCGCAAAGTGGCAAGCGACCTGCGGACCTGCGACCTGTCAAGGTTTCATGCACGCGCAGCCACGGGACCCGCGTCGCAGCCTTCTGCAGCCAATTTTTCCGCTTCCGCTTCCGCGCACGGCCTTTTTCTGATTTTTGACGATAGCTTTCTTCGGGACGTCATGTCAACACAAGCACGAGCGACTCTCAGTCAGACGATCACGAGTTCCATCACACTGAGCCACGAAAACACCTTCACCTTCGTTAGGAAGGAAATTGCCCGTGAAAGTTTGACAGGGCAGAGCTGTACAGGCGCAGGTCGGAGTGTTGGTCTCAAATTGTGTGGCATGCACGAGAAGGCCGGGCATGGCGTGAATCAGCTGTCAGAACCATCTCCCTGTCTAGACGTTCAGACTTGAGTCATTTGACTGCGGCACCTCACCGAGGTGACATCTGAAGACTGTGATTACCGAGGATGTGGCGCTGCTTTCGATTCTAGCCAGTCTGAGCAGCATTGGACCTTTCACGCTCCTGCTTCTTGAGCTTGCGTTCCATCTCGAGGAAGGCCCTCAAGGTGGGATCGAGGTCGCCAATCACGCGGTCCACCTCGCGTTGGGCGCGCTCGCGCAGCTCGTGTTCTGATTCGGCATTGCCGGCGTCGGTGCTGACCGATCCGTCGGAAGACGAGGCAGACGGATAGTCGCCGAGAAGGTCGGTGCGCCACTCGTCGCGCGTGACGGCAGGTGACAGCTGGGTGAGCTGGGTGCGCACCGACGAGAGGCGCGAATGAAAGTCTTCCAGATCCTCTGCGTAGATGTCGTAGGCACAGTGCGCGCAACCTGACATGCAGCATTCCTCGGGCCCAGGCGGGGGAGGCTTGAGCGGGATCACGATGCCCCGGATCGTTGTGGGACCCATGCTGACGTTGGCTGCCGGTGTTGCCGCAGTCGCAGCCGGCGTGGGCGTGACCTCGGCCGGTGTTGCGCCGCGGGCCACGTCGATGCCCTCGGTGCTGTTCGCTTCCACTGCGTTGGCGGGCGTCACTAGCATCGAGGGCGAGGCTGTAGGCGCTGCGGCAAGCGACTCGACCCTGTCGCCGATCTCGGACGAGCCCTGCGAGGGAGTAGCGGCTTCGTCCGAGAGCACGACTTTGGAGCGTGGGAAGCGGTCCAGAAGATTGCGGCCGTGCTTTCGTCTCGGAACGACCGAACTCGGCTCCTCGCGTGCTCTGCGGAAAGCGGTGTGGAATTGCCTCCTCTGCTCGGCAGAGCCGAAGGAAGTTGTGGTGGCCGCGCTGCTGCTGGCCGTCACGCTTTGGGAGGGCTGCGGGCCAAAGGTATAGTCGGCTTCCACCTGCTCAAAGAGCTGACGACAGTTGACGTGCGCCTTGAGACGCGCACACAGCAGAAAGGCGCCGCTGAGCTTGCGGTTCAGACTGTACGTCTCCTGCGGCGGAGGCGTGAGACGCTCCCGCAGCATGAGCGGGATCTGCGCCTTGACCCGATCCGTGATCGTCTGATGCTCGAAAGGATACGGATCCGGAGCGTCCGGGCGGAACGGCTCTCCAAGAGCGATCATGGACTCGACGTGAGCCTGCTCCATGGCAGCGCTCTCGTCACCCGTAAGGTAGCCAACCTTTCTCGACCAGATGAGGCACGAATCGTAGTCGCTCGCAACGGCCGCTTGGAGCATCTGCAGCCAATTATCCATGAACTCTTTCGAGTACTCGCGCGTAGCACCAAAGTCGATCAGCTGGATCTTGCCCGTACGCTCGTTGTAGAGGAAGTTCGACCAGTTAGGATCGGTCTGCATCAGACGGAAGCGGAAGAGCTCCGAGAGCGAGAGGTTGAGGATCGACTGGGCGATGCGATCGCGCGTCGCCTGCGGATAGCGTGACGCCATGCTCAACGGCCGACCGCGCATCATCTCGGTCGTGAGTACTTTTGACGTGCAAAGGCTGTCGACCACCTTGGGCACCTCGAACTCACGCGAGTCGTGCAGGATGGCACGGAAGCGGCGACCCATCTCGGCCTCGCGCTCGTAATCGCACTCGTCCTTGAGCTCGCGGCCAAGTACACGCAGCGTGTTCTCTAGGAAGAGCCCCTTGGGTAGCAGCGCCGATGCAGACACCAGCCAGCGAAGGTACGAGAGGTCCGAGTCGATCGACTCGAGCACACCGGGGAACTGCACCTTGACAGCCACCTTCTTACCGGCCAGCTCGGCATCAGGAAAGTCGTCGCGCAACACGGCCGAATGCACCTGTCCGATCGAGGCGCTTGCAAAGGGGATGTCGTCAAACTCCTTAAAGTTGCGCTCGCGCCAGTCGGCTCCGCCCAGCTCTTGGCTCATGACCTTGTTCATCTGCCAAATAGGCATGTAGTTGGCACTGTTCTGCACTCGCAGCAGTACTTGCTCGATCTGTGGGGGTAGCAGCTTGGTCTCCTGGATCGAGAGGAATTGTCCCAGCTTGAGGGCTGCTCCGCGCATCGTCGAGAGCTTATCGACGAGGCGTGCCACATTTTGCTCCGACATGAAGACGCTGTTGGGCGCAGCACCGTCGGCGCCACTGGACGAGGCGCCGCGGAGAAGGGATCCGGCCGCTCCAAATGCCAGGCCAGCCCCAAGACCACCGTAGTGGAACAAGCGGCCGATGCGTGATGAAGGCACCTTGGCAGCTCGAAGCGGTACATGCTTGGACTCTTTGACGGCGTCGTACTCTTCGGAGCCGTTGATGATGTCCGAATGGATAGGCTCGGCAGGCGCAGATGGCTTCGGCGGTAACGGTGTCGGAGGTACAGACGACACTTCATTGGTTGCTGCTTCGCCCTCGAAGGGCAGTATGGGCGGTTTCGGTGGGCCTTGCGTGACCTTTGGCGGCGCAGGATCGACTCGAGGAGGACTTGGGTCTAGAGCGACGGAGTTGGGCACGGAGGGCGCTATTGGTGGCACAAAGTCTTGAGAGCCGATGACTGGCGTTCTCGTTTCGGGCGGAGGAGATTGTTGCACAGGATGCCGAGGCTGCGTTTCTTGTACCGGTGCGGCATCTATTGGAGCAGTCGGCTTGGCAGTTTCTGTGCGGGTGGGCCATGGACGAACTGTCGGACGACTCTCAGGGCCTGGTCCGGCAGCACTGTCTAGGCTCGAGGAAAGTCCGGGATGATCTGGTGGAGTGCCACTTGTCGAGCTATTTGCACCGTCGCTGGCATGCTTTCCTACCTGCTGCGTGGGCCAAGGACGAAGAGGCCCGCGCGGCGCTGCGGCACGCGATCCGCCCGGAGAGAGAACGACGTCTTTGGCGATGTGGCAGATGGTCGATGCTATCGCCGCAGCATCTCGGAGCGCAGAGCGGCTCATTGTCCTGGATGCTGGAGACCTTGGTGGCTCGTCGTCGTGGGTGGGTGCGAGGGGGAAGGTTGGAGTTTGGTATGGCGGTCAGGCTTTCATCAGCACTTCGCTAAGCACGGCCAAAACGGCTTCGCACCTCCACTTCGGTCGGAAGATCTCGCGAACAAATCTCGTCTCCCACAACAAAAGTCGGAATTGAAAGCTAAAAAAGCGGCGAAAAAAAGGTACGAAAACTCGGCGAAAAATCTAAGCGTCAGGGTCCGAAAAGCAAGACAGAGGCTGCAGCTGCCTTGCACAGCTCACACTCGGATTCGATGCAAGTCGCAGCGTTCCCGGCGTTTTAGCGAGCGGTTGGTGACAGTTCGCCGCACACAGCCTCCACCGCGAGCCAGATTTTGCCGCACACCTAGAGATCATCCCCTTCTTTCAACCACCATAGCGTCCCTACCACAGATCTTCGGCCCCTTCGCGACCATACTGCGATCACAGACAAAGCTGCATCGAGCCGGCCCAGAGGCGCGCAGCACTTGGCGCTGACGCACTTGAGTATCTCGCTCTCGGCCGTTGTCATCATGTCCGCTGGCGGCCGGGCGTCGAGCTCCAGCGTCCTCCAAGCTCGGCTAGGCGTGTGGTGCGTGTGGCTTCTTCTCTTGGCCTTGTACTCTGGCCGCACAGCGGCGCAGCAGGTCTCGCCATCTCCGACCATCTCTGCTTCCTCCAGCTCAATACCTCCACCCTCAAGGTCAAGATCAGCAATCCCAGGTCGAGCAACGTCGGTGCTCAATGCAACCGTCAATGCCGTCGCCCTGAACGATTCGATCGTCGCACGATCGCGTATCGACGTCAATGCAACCCAGGGCGCCTTCTTCAACTTCACCTTGCCCGCCAGTGCCTTCTCCGAAGACGTCAAGACGGTGACCGTATGGACGTCCATCTCACTCTGCACGGGGCCCGCCATCCCGCCGTACAACACTTCCAACGCTACCTTGCTCGAGTCGCTGGACAGATCGGCTACCGAAGCACGCAGATCAACGCTCGCTTCGCTCTACATCTCCGACGACGAGCTGTTTCAACAGCCTGGCCCGGCGAATGCGAGCTCGTTGGATTCTCGTCACATTGGCTACGCTCAAGGCGGCTGGACCTCGGTCGAGGTCGATGTCCAACAGCGCAGCGAGAACAGCTCCGAGACGTTATGGATCGGCGTCTGGCCGCCTGCAGATACGCGCAACACCACCCAGGGCACGTATCAGTTCCAAGTCGTCGCGAGCACACGCGCAAAGATGGAGTCGGTCGACTACACCCGGCGACCGCGACTGGACGACACGGATGCCACGAATGCGCTCGTCTCATCGTTCAATTATACCACGTCGTCGCCACCAATGCTCGATGCGATCGTGCTGCCGACATTTGGAGAGTACTCGCTGCCGGACGCCGACTACTTCAACTCGTCGTTCTGCGCCATCGCCGACGCGTGGGCCGACCTGCTCAACAGCAACCAGCCCTTCTCGATCAACAGCAGCGCCACACGACGTGGCACCGAAGCCAACGTGCTCAATGATACCCGCCTGCAGTTCGAGATCAGCGGCCTCGACTCGGGCACCAACTACACCTTTTGGCTCGTCGAGAGCACCAACGTCAACAACGACACTGCAGCGCAGAGCTTGACCACCACGCTGTTCCCCGCCATCAAGATGCGCACCAAGCGCAGCGACAACTGCAGGCTGGTGTACGACGTGCCCTTTTGTCCCAATGTGGCGTACTCGATTCCGGTCAATCCGTCCATCTCGACCTCGGATGCGCTTTCGGCGATCGAGGCGTTTGTGAGTCCGCAGTACGGCAACTTTAGCAGCATGATCGACACGTTCCCGTGCGGCGATCGGGACTTTGGCATGTACTCGTACGTGCAGACGTGCGACAAGTGCAAAAAGTCGTACCAGGACTGGCTGTGCGCGGTGGCGATGCCGCGGTGCACGGATGCGTTGGCGGATCCGCAGACGCAGTCGCGCGCCACGCAGGATAGCCGCAACCTCACGGGCGCGCCCACGGGCACCAACAAGGATCTGCTGCCGTACATTGTCAACCGCAACAGCAACGCGACAGGAAGTGTGGCGTTGGCATCGCGCCAGTCGTTTATCGACGAGCAGCTGCAGCCGGGCACGTATGGCGAGCTGTTGCCGTGCATCTACACGTGCTACTTTGTGGAGCGTACGTGTCCACCCTTGATCCAGTGGGCGTGTCCGGTGTGGGACATTACGGCACAGCGCGACTACGGCACGTTTGCCGATAGCGGGTCGGAAGGGATTGGCGCCGGATTCAACGGTGGGGCTGGCAAGGACGGCATGCGCTGGGGAGGATACCAGCGCTACATTGCCACCGACGCATTCGGCAATGCCTACTGCAACTCGATGGGCGTCGACTTTTTGCTGCGCGAGTCCAACTCGGCGCGTCGAATGATAGCCTCGTGCAGCGGTGGTGGCGGTTTGTTTGTCGTATCGCTCGCTGCATCGTTGGTCGTCGCATTGTTTGTCTAAGTATCGTTGTTATTTCAATAGATTCGCATGGTTTTGCGCATTATCACTGCTTTTGGCCGATTGGGAGGCTTTTGCTCACGCTCACGATGCCACGATATACACACACGGTTACGCACGCAGGGGACGGTGCCGGAAGCTGAAAAGAGTGTGAGTACAAGAGTGAGTGTGCGGAGAGCAAAGGAGCAACGATCGTGATAGTGTGAAGCGATCGTAGGTGGGTCACCAGCGTGTTGCGGGTCTACGAGGGCGGGTCGCAAACGATTTGGCGCGGGTGTAGGGGTATGCCGAAGCGGGGATTCTGGATCGGTACGATGAAGCGGCGATACGGGAGCGGTAGGCCGAAGCGGGGATTTGGGAGCGGTACCTGTTTGCGACGCTAGCGTGCTGTTGTGGGGTCACGTGCAGTTTGAGTCCGAACAGGCTTCGGGAAAAGTCCTTTGTGCGTTGGAGCCAGTCGTCGGGACGAAGGTGGTTGATGATTTCGCGCTCGACGTTGAACCCAACCGCACGCTTGCGCAGCTTCGACTCGGGGATCGTGCCGGCGATCTTGGTGGATACGTCGTCCCATAGACTCCATGCCTGATCCCACGGTCCAGTATGCCACGCTGGGATGCGGGTTCCGGAAGCGTGTCGCGTGTGGCCGACCTTGTTGTTGATCGTCATCGGCAGATTGGACGTGGCCAGCTTGACGACCACCCACGACGGAAGGTGGCTTTTGGGCATCGAAGCTGCAGGAGCGGCTACGGCAGCTGCGGCCGAGGCAGCCGAGGCGGCCGAGGGGAAATGGTAGCTCAGCGGCAAGCAGGCGACATTGACGAGCGAGACGAGCATGCACAAGAGACCTGTGGCGAGTGCGGTCCAGTTGAGACGGATCATGTTGGATGATGTGCCAGCCACCGCTTCGGCATGTGCAAGGTACCAATGATCCAGGAATAGTTGATCGGGTGATAGAAATGGCTTCGCAAGGCTCACGGTCGGAAGGATGGCCGCACCCGCATCAGCACTTATACCGGTGCGACGCCGATGGTGTTATTTGCGCATCCCGAAGCCGGATTGTGGGTGAAGCGCGACAACTGCCTTGTGTTCATGCAGGGGCTCAATGAGGGTGCTGATGGCGGAAAGATGGTGCGCGTTCCTGACCATCCCACACCTGGTCAGCCGCGGGCTGATGGGAGTGGGAGGATGAAAGCGTGAACCCACGCCGCCGCGTCCGGAGGTTACGTGGCAGCACGCGCGGCTCCAGCCTTGCCACCACGCCATGCAGCCATATGAAGTCGACGGGTGCGCCGACAGGCGAAGCGCGGAGGTTGGTGCGTGTGCGCTTGACCGAACGTCGCCTGTGACGACGCGCGGCGTCGAGACGTAGGCGCATACAGCTCCATCTCGATACGCAACATTCATTCGCTCACTTGTACAGGAATCTATGCTTCTGTGCCATCGACCTAGCATACACGCATACATTGCCCACACGATGTTACGACTGCCGCCAACGACGAGGAAGGCGAGGTAACATATTCGTGGCTGCAGGCGGGAGCAAGCCTGGCGTCGCCGATGGGAGCCAGGATTGGAGGCAGGCGCGCCTTTCTTCACGCTTCGATGCAGCCGCATTTGGGATTTGGCTCGAAATCCAAGCTCGAGAAAGACTTGTTATTCATGATTTCTAATCAAAATCCACTGGCACTACGAATCCTCGCGCGGCGACTACGAGGCGGTAAAATTGCACTTCAACTCTTCGAGGGCCCTTTGAAAGAGAAAAAAGGGCCGATCAGCGGCAGCAGCAGCAGCAGCAGCAGCAGGCGGCGGCGGCTCCAGCGCGAGAGCCAAATTTAAGTGAGCCAATTGGAGGTTGCGCACCGCAGCGCTGAGTCGAGCAGGCGGGCGCCACTCTCACCTGCGCAGAGACGGGCGAGCAGGGCCCAGCCAAGCGTGCGAGTGAGAGCGAGAGTGAGTGAGGGTCGCAGCGAGTCAGTGAGTGAGAGAGAGACAGAGCGACTGGCTCGCTCACCTGAGCCTGGCTCGCTGCCACCGCCAGCCCAGTTGGAAGAGACAGAGACAGACAGACAGACAGACAGCAGCCTCTGCCTCTCAGACGCACTTTGACGCCGGGCCGGGGTCCATCAAGGAGAGTGGCTCGCAAACCACACTTTGTCACATCGGCAGCCGTCTCTCTCTCCCATCCCCATCATCACCACCCATCGTATCGTCGACAGCCCCTCTGCTCGTCGATACATTCATCAACTCTCTTTCCAGTTTCGACCACTACTTTTGGTTTCCTTTTCTCCGGCCGTCGCTTCGCCGCAGCAGCAGCAGCGTGGCAGTGGCATCGGCAGTGGCATTGGCACGCAACAGCCAGCTCTTTCCTCTGCTCATTCGGCGCTGATCCTAAGCTCAGCTCGAGTCGCTGCCGTTGTTGCCATCGCCATCGCTGACACTACTCCGCCCCGGCTGCACCTCCAGCGCGTCCGTCTTGTCTCGCCATCGGAGGAGCCGATCTGACGCTTCAGCAGTCGAATCTAGCAACGCCAGAGCGCGCCCGATCAGCTTATGACGACGCATCGACAGGCCGCCCATCCAACCAACGCCCGTGTCTGATTCCACTCACGACGCTGCCTCGACTCTCGCCTAATCCGCTGGTCAACGAGGACATGGCCAAGTCCAAGCTGCCTCGCTCCACCCCAGCGGCGCGCAGCACCGCGCCGCCACCGCCCAAGATCGCAGCCGCCGCTCAGCAGCAGCAGCAGCCGCCATCCACCCAGCCCATCATGCACAACGCGCCCGTCGCAGGCGCCTCCACGCCGCCGCGATCCACTTCGCCTGTCTCCCACCACGACATCGACAACGCCGCGCTCAACTCGGCAAAGAAGAAGAAGAAAAAGTCAAAGTCCAAAGCAAAGGACTCCGACTTTATCGACGATCACGACTACGACCTTCAGTCCGCCGCCGCCCTCGGTCAGCGTCCCCGCTCACCCGCTTCCCTCGCCGCCAGGGCACAGGCGCAGGCGCAGCTCTTGGCCGCCGCCAGCGAGCTCTACCGCAGAATCGAAGGCGATGCGCAGGGCATCCCGGACGATGACACCTACTGGACATCGCTCCCTGCCCATCTCAGAACCTTCATCCGCAACGCCCTGCCCCTCGGCCAGTTCCCCCCCGCGGCTCAGGCCGCCCTCAACGACAATGCCAACGATCCGGCAACCCGCCCCCCCCCGACCCAGGCCATGATCGCCGTCGCCCAGCAGCTCGCACAGGCGGCCCACGCATCCCAGCGTCACCTCCAGCAGTATCCCCCGGGCACCCATCCCTACCCGCCACTGCCCTTCGACGCTTCCATCTTTGCCGACCTCGCTCTGCATCCAGACCAGCCTCTTCCGCTCCACCCTCACCCCAACGCCGCCAACAATGCGCACCCCAACTCCAACGGCTCCTACGCCCAGTACGCCTCGAGTCCCAACCCGCCGCCCACCCAGCCCCCCGTTGAGCCCCTCCCGCCTCCCGTCGTGCTCTACGACAACTTCGACGACGACATCGACCGCTTCGACGACGACGGCGACGACGGCGCACAGTACTACGACGACGGCGATCTCGACGACGACGACGACGTGCTCGACGCCCAAGGCGGTCTCCTTCACGCTCGCGAGCGCGTCTGGATGCACGATGGCGCCGACCACCTTCGTGGCAACAACGGCGTCGCCAATCATCCCGACGCCATGCGTTCCGCTTCCAAAAACAAAAAGAAGAAGAAGAAGAAGAAGGGCAGCGCAGGCGCCACCCACGGCCATCCCGACGACGACGCCCACGAGATCGAGGTCGAGGTGCCTCCGCCACCCAAACCCGTGCCCAGCCATCCTGCGCCCACCACAAACGTCCCCTCGGTGGCTCGCAACTCCAATCCGCCGCCTCCGAGCTCGCGCGCGGCGGGAAAGCAGCCCATGACCTTCAACTCGACGGCCAAGACTCCCGCCAGGCCCGCCAACGGCGTGCCGCCCTCGTCCAACTCGGGCAAGCACTCCGTCTCCTCCTCCACACACGGTCACCCTCCCGCCGTCAACGCTCCCAGCAACGCAAAGATCTGGTCAACAAGCTCCGCAGAGGAGCGCGAACGCATCAAGGAGTTCTGGCTCGGCCTCTCCATGAAGGACCGTCAGAAGCTCGTCCAGGTCGAAAAGGAGACCGTCCTCAGAAAGATGAAGGAGCAGCAAAAGTTCCTCTGCAGCTGCGCCGTCTGCGGTCGCAAGCGCTCCGCCATCGAGGAAGAACTCGAGGTCCTCTACGACGCCTACTACGACGAGCTCGAGGAGTACGCAAACCACCAGCAACGCTGGGCAAGCAGCGGCGGCACCATCCCTCCGCCGCCGGGGCCGGGTCCATTCCCTGGTAGCGTCGCGCTCGACGCATCGGGGGCCGTCATCGGTGGCGATCCGCTCTCGCGCACACGCGCAGCCCACGGCGGCCGCGATGCTCGCCACACGCATACGCATGCGCACGCGCATCCGCACCCGCACGGACGCAAGGCGCCACCCCACCCCGAGTCGTCCGACGGCTACGACGACGACGAATTGGACGACGACGCCGAGTACGACGACGACGATGACGATGCCACCTACGACGACGAAGAGGAAGACGACGACATCGAGCTCGAGAAGGAGCGTGCGCGCGACGAGTACGCCAAGCGCAACGCCGTCGCCTCGACGCGTCGACGCGCCACCAACGACGCCAGCGACGTCTTTGGCCTCGGCAGCAGCCTCACCGTCAAGGGCGGCATACTCACCGTCGCCGACGACATGCTCAAGAACGACGGCCGCAAGTTCCTCGAAATGATGGAACAGCTCGCCGAGCGTAGGATGCATCGCGAGGAGCTCACCAACGCCGAGCTCGCGCCCAGCGACGACGAGGATGATGTCGACGGCCCGGACGACGTCGACGACGAAGACATTGACGACGACGAGGACGACGAGGAAGACGACATCCTCACCGAGGAACAGCGCATGGAGGAGGGTCGCAAGATGTTCCAGATCTTCGCCGCTCGCATGTTTGAGCAGCGCGTGCTCGCCGCCTACCGCGAGCGCGTGGCGCAGGAGCGTCAGCTGCAGCTCCTCCGCGAGCTCGAGGAGGAGGACACCAACGAAAAGGCGCGCGAGGCCCGTCGTGTCAAGGAGTCGCAGAAGAAGAAGGACAAGAAGAAGGCGCAGCGCGAAGCCAAGGAGGCCGAAAAGATGCGCAAGGACCAGGAGAAGGCCGCCGCCGAAGCCGAGGTGCGTGCAAAGCAGCAGGCGGAGCGCGATGCCGAGCTCAAGAAGCAGGAGGAGATTCGGTCCAAGAAGGAGGCGGAGCGCAAGGCGCGCGAGGACGAAAAGGCTCGCAAGGACGAGGAGCGCCGACGTCGCCAGGCCGAAGAGCGCGAGCGCGAGCTCGAGCGCGAACGCAAGCGCCGCGAGAAGGACGAAAAGATCCGTCTCGAGCGCGAGGCGCAGGAGAAGGCCAAGCGCGATCGCGAAGAGGCTCAACGCAAGGTCAAGGAGGACCAGCAACGTGCGCAGCGCGAAAAGGCCGAAAAGGAGCAGAAGGCCCGAGAGGAGCAGGAGCGCAAGTTCGAGGCGGCCAAGAGGGAGAAGGAGGCGCGCGCCCAGGCGCAACGCGAAGCCAAGCAGGCTGCTGCTGCTGCTGTCGCACCGCCCAAGTCGCCACCCAGTGCTGTCAAGCCTGGCATGGCCAAGGCGGCTCACGCTTCAGCACCTGCGACGCCCAACCGTGCCGCCAAGAACACTTCAGTTCCTGGCTCGCCCGCCGTTGCCTCTGGTCAAGCATCGGGTCGCAACGCCCGCCCCGTTGTCGGTGCCAAGCTTCCTTCGTCGGCTCAGAGCAGCGGTGCGGCTGTTGCGGCAGCACCTGTCGGTGCGACGACTCCTGGCGCGCCATCGGCAACCGCAATGCCTGCTTCGACTCTGCCAGCCCCACCTCAGGGTCTGCCTCCCCGCCCTATGACTGCTGTTCTCACGCCGTCGGGAACCTCGCAGAGCTCTTCGGTGTCTGTCGCGGCCAATGCCGGTCTTCCTCGCCCGCCGGTCAATGCCTCGGCTGGCGGCGCAAGCGCCCCGGCTGCCTCGGTGGGCTTTGGCTCCATCGGGCCGAACGCCTCGGCTGCGGCTTCAGTGTCTTCGGCCAAGTCGCCTAGCTCCAGCATCTCGCCCACGCTTGCGCAGCCCTTCGCGCCGTCCCAGGACAAGCAGGGCTCCAAGCCGCTGTACGGCTCGCCGCAGCCTCCGTTGGGAGCCACGTACGCGCAGCAGCCTGGGCTCGAAGGTCTGCGATCGCCCACGCTTCCCAACGGCCTCGCTTCGAGCGGCATGTTTGGTAACGACCATGCCAACATCGGCACGCCTGGCCTGGGCGGCATGACGAGCAACCTTGGTTCGCTCAACCTGAATGCGGCACCTCTGTCGTCGGCGAGCCTGAGCATGGGCAACCCGCTTGTGGGCAGCAAGGCGCCCATGCCGGGTATGGAATCGACGTCCGGTGGGCTGACGCACGGCGGTCTTGGCAGCAGCATGCAGAGCCCGACGCAGACGCCCTTCTCGCCGATGGGCGGAAGCAATGCGGTGGACGCGATGCGCAGCCGCACGGCGTCGTTTGCCGACTCGGACCCCATGTCGGCGTTTGCCGGCATGCGTCCGAGCTCGTCGCTCTCGCAGAGGGTGCCTGGCTACCGCGCGGGTGGCGCGCCCACGCCGATTGGGCCGATCGGACGCCCCAAGGCGATGGACGCCATCCACCAGCATCCGCACGACGACCACACCGGCGCCATCGGCAATGGCCGCTCTTCGAGCAGCGCAAGCGGTTCGGGCGCGACGAGCCCGAGGCTGCCGGAGGGCATCCTTGGCAGTTCGGCGCTCGGCGGCGACGACGACATTATCGAGCCCAAGCCGCGCCGCACGAGCCACACGATCCCGATCGGCGGCGGCGCCACGGGAAGCAGCATGGGCTCGGGCGGCTCGTTTTTCGGTGGTATGGGCAGTGCCGGCGGCGTGGCTGGAGGGTTTGGCGTGAACTCGCCGTCGCCGTGGACGTCGTTCTCTGGCGGCAGCCAGGGGGCACCTGGACCTCTGTCGCCCGGATTCAACGCGGGTGGTGTACCCGGTGCGGGCTCGATCGGCTCGAACCTGTCGTCGGCCAACTTTGGGGCCGCGCCGGGGCTGGGTTCGAATGCGGCGGGCCTGTCGGGTGGTGCGCAGCCGGACCCGTGGGCGCGCGTGTCGAGCGGCTGGGACCGAGCGCGGTATGCGTTTGAGCAGCCGGGCGGCAGCGGTGGCGGCAGCAGCGCGGGAGCGGGCGGGCTCGGAGCGATGCATGCGGGTGCGCCGGGCCACCACGGCCATGTGCTGGGCGCGCACGCGGGCAGCCTGCACCCGATGGCGCTGAATGCAGCGCAGGGCGGCAGCGCCGGCAACGGCGGTGCGAACGGCGGCATGCTCGGCCCGTTCGGCCTGGGTGCGCCCGGCAGCGGCGGCAGGAACCTGTTTGGCGCGCCCGGCAGCAACGCCATGCATCCTGGTGCGATCGGCTCGGCGCTCTCGCCCACCTCGCCTGGCGCGCGCCACATGAGCGGCAGCCACGAGTAGCTCAGCCTCGCCAAAGGCGGACAGCGTGTGGTGGTGTAGTCAGTGTGCCTCTCGGTTTGCGCTCAATCAGACAGACAGATTCTTCTCGAGACGAGTGTGGCGTGTGAGAGGGGATTTGTCGAGTCGAGCGTGGCGTGTGAAGGGGCGTGGCTCAGCGGGGATTGTGGTGTGGAAGTTGAGCAGGCGGGGGTTTGGGTCGAAGCGACACAGGCAACACGGTGGGCTCTCAAACGATGACGCTACGGGCATGAGTTGCGGATATGGCAAGAGTTTGGCGATTGGGCCAGTGTTGAGAGAGGTTAGAAGCCCAACGAGGCGCGCAGTTCCTCCTCCAAGCTCGGGTCTTGCGCGGCTTGGGCTTGGGGGTCTGGATTCGACTTGCGCGCCACGCTGTCGAGGAAAGTCTTGACCGAATTCTTGGCTGGATCATACTGCAATCCGACCTCGTTCAGCTCTTGCTTGCATTTGGGGCAAGTGCAGGGGCCAAAGCAGTAATCCCTATACAGCACGAGCTGTCTTCTACCCAACCGCGTGCTCGGGTCGATATAACTAATCACCAGCTCTTCGTCCTTTGCAATGGGCCTTAGGGCGAGTGCAGCAACCTTCATACTTGCCAGAATCCCGCGTTCCGGAACGTGGCGGATTTGGACATTCGGCGCACACGAGTGGTTGAGGAACGAGTGGACACTGTAGAGGCCGCCGAATTTTTCCATGTTGACATTCGCGCGTCCGAGCAGCTTGAGGAACGACGCGTAGGTGAAGAGGTCCTTGATCTGTCCCTTGCGTGTCTTGACGGCATCGATGAGGTCGAGTTGAACATGGTGTGGGTCCGGATGCGGGGCAGAGGTGCGGGCATCGGCGTAGGGGTCGAGTGCATTGCACAGCGCCGTGTATGCTTGGGCCAGGATCCCTTCAAACGACGCTTTTTCCGTCGCCCACCCGGGATTGCGAGACCGACGCTCCAGCTCCGAAACGGTCGCGAACGACGACAACCGCGCATGTACGGTTTCAAAGTCGCCATACGCTGCGATCAAATCGTCCTGCTCTCGCGATTGCTTTCCGCTTGCTGTGCCGTTGTTGTGCGGCGTGAGCGTCGAGAGCAACCTCGCCAACGAGCGAGCCACGCAATGCAGACTCTGCCACTTTTGGCTCTGCACCAGCTGCACCAGCGGTTTGGCGGCCGGGTTGAGGCCCGTGCAGAGCAGCGTGTGGTGGGTAGCCATGGCGGTGCGCGCACACGCACTCGTGCACCAGCGCATCTTGCACTTGGCGCAGTTCTTGATCGCCAGCTGCACGGGTGCCGACGAGACGGGCAGGAAGCACTGCGCGCACAGCTCGCCGCTGCTCACCTGATCAAATGCCTCGGGTGGCGGCGTGGCAATGTACGCCTCTTCGGTGAATACAAGCTCGCCTTCAGCAAAGCTGCGCGAGGCTACAAGTCCTTTACCCTTGACAGCGTCAAAGTAGTGCGCACGCACGCCGGGGGGGATCGAAACATTCGCATCGATATAGGAGCGCGGCACTCCGGCATCCGTCTTGGACTTTTTCTTCTTCTTGCCACCTGCCCCTGCCCCCGTCGAAGCTTCTCCATTGGACGTGGCGGTTGTGGCGGTTGAGGGGCTGTCGACGAGTGCGTTTTTCGAGAGCACGCTATGGAAGCGTTTGGCCGAGACGTCGGTCCAGTCATTTTCGAGCTCGAGCGTCGCCAGCAGCCGTACGAGCTCAGCCTCGGGCACCGTCTTGCCCTGCGAGCCCGTGAGCTTCGCCGTGACGGCCTCGACGATCTGCGCTTCTGATGGCGCCGTCATAGTGTGTCTGCGGTCGTAGGTGGTTGGAGAGCAAGGTGCGTATGTGGAGCTCTGCACTGTCGCCCGACTCGAAAAAAAATCCCGATGCAGCGCTGCCTTTCTCCTCGGATCTTCCAAACGTGGCCTGCCCGCACCTTTTTTTTTGCACAGCTGGTGTCCGATACCCGCAATTCCACAAGCCGCACTCTCACGCAGCTGCTCACAAAGCTGCTTCTCACAGTCGGCAACAGGCATTGGCACACACTTGCAACGTCTAGGGCCAGAATTTGATATTGCTACACGGGAGGAAGACAGGGCAAGACCACATGAAAGAGCACGCGCAAGGGCTTTTGAAAGACTAGCGGAGAAAGAAGATTGATGCGCACCGATGATGTGCGGATGCTTACTCCCAGCCGGTGACGCCTTCGGCTTCGGCCGTCTTTTCAGCGTCGGCGCCGTCACGAACCTCGTCAGCGGCAGCATCGGCAGCCGCCTCGGGCCTGTCCTCGTGCGTGTTCTGCGCGCCCTCATCGTTGTTGCCATTGGTGTTGCCGTCGGCATTGTCGCGACGCTCGTCGTCGTCTCGGCGGGGCGAGCCTCTCCTGCGCTCTTCGGAGTAGTCGGCGTCGTCGTCGCGGCGCGGTTCGGGCGATCGCTCGCGGCGGAGCGCCGCACGTCTGCGCGCACGCTCCTCGGCGGCACGGTCGGCCTCCTCCTGCTCCTCCTTGCTCAACTGGGGCCGCGGCGGCGGCAGGTCGGCGGGGGGAGGACCACGGTCATCGCGCTGGTCGCGTCCACCACCACGTCCGCCGTACGCGGGCGGCGGAGGAGGTCCGCGCGAGGGACCGTCGAACCTCCAGTTGGCCGAGGGCGCGTTCTTGGCAAACTGGATCGAGATCTGGTGGCGGCCGAACGACATGCCGTGCATGTCGCGGAAGGCGGCATCCGCATCGCGTGGGTCCTCGTACTCGATAAAGGCGTACGGTGTCGCGGTGGCCGACTTGAGCGCAGGGATGTCGCAGCGGATGAGCGGGCCCATGCGTTCGAACTCGTATGCGAGGTCCTTGGCGCGCATGCTGGGCGGGAAGCCTGCCACAAAGAGAGTGGTAGGAGGTGCACGGTCGCGACCGCCGCCGCGGCCACCGCCACGGCCGCTTCGAGGGCCTCGGTCATCGCGCTCTTCGCGGTCGTATCCGCGGTCGTATCCTCGGCCAGACATGGATGTCGACGAAGTGGGTGCTGTAGATGTTGTTGATCCTGGGTTGAGCAAAGTGTGGTCGTCCGTGCAGTGACTTCGTGTGTGGCGACAAGTGCGCAGCTGACGAGCTCGGTGAGATGGTGTAGTGGATGGAGGTGGCAATTGCGGAAGCTGCACATCCACTCGTACCTCGCACCTCGGCGGGTCCCGCACTGTGCTTCCGCTCCTCCTCTTCTGCTCTGCTGCCTGTCGCGTTTTGGAAGATTCTCCACAAACCGCGGACGGGGCGCGGCAGGGAGTGTGAATCAAAATACATACTAGGTTGCTTTTAGCTAAGAGCGACGAATGAATGAGACTAGGGCCCAACTCGAGCGAAGGATCTAACGCCTCGAGAATTTGCTCCTCTGCCACGAAAGTTTGCGGAAGGAGAGAGCGGCTCAAATTTTGCGTGATCGACTGCGACCGTGCGCGAGTTGGCGATGACCTAACACTCTACAAATTTTCGGACGTTCCGAAGATCGAGGCTGCCTTCCGCAACGGCTCTCCCGCAGTTGAAGGTCAATTGCGCAGTCTGCTTCTGTCTCTCCACTTGTTGTGGCCATCCGACATCACATCCACCACCTCTCTCCATCAGCTGGCGCTTCTCAGCTTGATTCTGTTACTGTTTCGGCCCCTCTCCGGCCCTTCTTCGAGACGCTATCCTTTACACTCGCCACACACAGTCCCTACGGCCCATCCGATCCTCCTCGACTCGATCGCCCACCATGGCGGACACCGACGGTACGTTTTCCGACACACATGCTCTCCGATGATCGCCATCCTTGCCATCCCAGCCCACCCCAGCCCATCTCAATGTGACCATCCCATTCCACTGCCCTGCACCACTGCACCACTGCACCACGCCGCGCGCCGTCTTGCTGTCCACGCGTCCGCTCGCTGCTCAGCTTTGCAGTCAGCTCAGCCACCCTCATGTTCGCCCTCTTCCCGCTTCATCGGCTGCTCCGCACTTCACCTTCTGTCTCCGTCTCCCGCCGTCCGCCGTCCACCTCCCACCTCCGCTCTCCTGCTTACCATCAGACCGACTGACCTGCAACGGCTCGCTCCCTTTGCCGTTCCGACTCAGCAGCACAGCAATGGAACGGCGACGCTGCACGCGACGCCGCGCGTGAGACCGACAATGCAGCCTGGAACGGCGCTCGCAGCCCTTCGCCCAGGGGCGCAGCCACCCCGCCTCGCCGTGAGCGCGAGCGCTCCCGCTCTCCCATGCGCACCGGCGATGACGACCGTGGCCGGTAAGTCTGCACTTCGTCGTCATCGCATCCAGACCACTCGCTCACCCCTTTGCAACTACCGCCGCATTCCCATCACAGCCCCGAGCGCAACAACGGCGACAACAACCCAGGCAACAACCTCCACGTCTCGGGCCTCAGCAAGACCACCACCGAGCGAGACCTCGAGGAGGCTTTCGGCAAGTACGGCGCCGTACGTATCGCTCTCCAGCCTCTTCCTGTTCGCATCCGTCGCGCAGCCACCCACAACTGACCCTCTCCTCCCATCGCTCTTGCTCCAACAGATTCAGAGAGCGCAGGTCATGTACGACCCTCACACTCGCGAGCCAAGAGGCTTTGCCTTTGTCACCTACGAGAAGGCCGAGGATGCAGAGGCCGCCATCACCGCCATGAACGGCTCCGACTTCCAGGGCCGCAAGATCAACGTCGACAAGGCGCGTCGTGGTCGCGCCCGCACCCCCACCCCAGGCAGGTACTTTGGTCCCCCCAAGAAGGGTCGCATGGACGGTCCTCCTGGCTACGGCGGTGGCGGCGGATACGGCCGTGGTCCTCCGCGCGGTGGATACGGCGACGACCGATACGGCGGTATGCCGCCTCGTGGAGGTGGATATCCGCCCGCCTACCCGCCGCGCGACCCTTACGACCGCTACGGCCCTCCTCCTGGCCGACCCTTTTCGCCACCGCCCATGCGAGGCGACCCGTACGACCGCTATGGTCGCGGTCCGCCCCCCATGCGCGACTACCCTCCGCGCGATCGCGACTATCTGCCGCCTCCCCCGCGCGGCGGTCCTGGCATGGACTACCCGCCTCGTGACTTCCCTCCGCGCGGCCCGCCTGGCGACTACCCCCCGCCGCGCGGATACCGCGACCACTCGCCCCCGCCTCCGCGCGGCGGCAGGTACGACGACTTGCCCCCTCCCCCGCCCCGCGCCGGCGGCCCAGGCGGCAGGTATCCAGACGCCCCGCCCCGTCCGCGCTACGACGACGCCGGCCCCCCGCCCCGTCGTTACTAGAAACAAACAACCTCCCAATCTTGTCATACTATGCTCCGCTGCCTTTCTTCACTGAAATAACAAGTTTCGTTCGCTCTGGTGTATGTACTTTCAGATGTTTGTGAGTGGCATCGGCTTTGGAAAACGACTTTTTGCGAATGCAATGTGAATGCGAGACAATGCTAGGGATTCGACAAAGGGTGGGGAGTTGGTTAGCGCACGCGGATGTGCGCGCGCCAGCGCGGCAGCTTGAGCTTGGCCTGGTGGATCCACTCTGCATCGTTATGGCCCAGCGGTCCAAGAGCCGACTCGACGAGCTCGCGCGCGGCCGTCTGGAACGTCTCGCTGGTCTCGAGGCCCTGCGCGGCGCTGCTGAAGGCGTGCCCGAGCTCCGTGGTGCGCGCCACCTTGATGAGCGACAGCAGCGCAAACAGCGCCGTCCAGAACAGCGTCGAGTCGAGCGGCTCGGCCAGCACCAGCCGCAGCACCGCAACCAGACACCCGTGCAGCGCACCCACCAGCTGCGCCGACGGCGGCGCAAAGTGCACCGATACCACCTTGCAGAACGCCACGATCGACTCGAGCCCCAGCTGCGCCGTCTCGTTCTCGTCCATCTTGATGCACAGCGACAGCGCCTGCACCGCCTTGTCCAGCAGCGACGGCTCGTGCGTGCCCGTGCCCGCAGCGGCAGAGGCTACGAGAATCATGCGGCCCGAAAACAGCCCAAACACCGACGACGTCAGCTTGCCCAGTGCCTGGCGCATGCGCGGTACGCTCAGCGGCTCAGCAGTGGTTAGCAGGCCGAGCACGTGTTCAAAGCCCATCAGGCACACGTCGCTCGTTTTGGTCGGCTGAAGCTCTGCAGCCTGATCCGATCCGCCGTCGTCCACGCCCGCTCGTGCCGAGCCCGAGAGCTCGGCGAGCAGCTCCACAAGCAGGCACAGGCCTTCGTACGGCACATCGTCGTCCAGCGGCGATCCGGCTTCCGAGGCAAGCAGCAGATGCGTCTTCTTCTTGCCCGCACGGTTCTCGCCCTGCAGCGCCTGCATCAGCTCCCACGCCGCCTGGTTGATGCCCATCACAATGAACGGCTCCGCTCCAAAGTCGAGCTCGAGCGACACGCTCAGCGTGTGCAGCACGCGCAGCACCGATACCGCGATCTCGGGCCGCGTGTCGTACACGCGGCAGAGCTGCGCGAAGGCGCCAAAGAACTTGGAGATGAAGCCATATACGATCTCGGCCGAGTTGGGCTGGATCGACGAGGCGAGCCCCTCGAGCATGTCGAGCGACGTCTGCACCGCCGAGATCACGTCCGAGCGCTGCGAGATGGCCGCAAAGTCGGCGCGCGAAAGCAAGGCGCCAAAGCGCGCCTCGATCGAAGCGGTGATCTGCTTAAAGTAGGACTCGGCCGATCGCTCCGTCGTCGCCTCCGGGTGCGTCGCGCCCGAGTAGATGCAGCCCACCACGGAGGCAATGAGCGCACCATGCGTGTTTGCGGGCAGGTGATCCAGACCGGACACGATCCCCGAGACCAGCTGCTCCATCTCGGCGAGTTGCAGCAGGCAGATCATGATCCCGCTCGACCGTGTGAAGGCAGACAGCACCTGAGCAAGCTGTAGCAACACGTCGGAGTCGGTCATCCACAGCTGCAGATTCTCCGACAGACGCTGAAGCAGGAACGTGAGCGTCTGCCGGCCAGCCTGGTCGCCAAACGCCCTCTGGATAGCGGCATTGGTGGCAAAGCCAGAGCGCTCGTCGATGAGCAGGTACGACGAAGTCCAACGGCCCGTGAACCAGAGCAGCGTCTCGGTCACCTGCGGACTGGTGGCTTCAACAGAGGCCGGCCCGAACGCGCTCAGGTGCTGCAGCAGCTGCATGCCGAGTTGCATGATCAAAGCCACCGCCGGGTCCTCGGGCTCGGCACTCGCAGCAATCTCCGCGGGTACTTCGGGCGTCTCGCCGCGCGCATCGTCTGCAAGGAGATGGCCTGCGATGAGAATGAGCCAATGAAGCTGCTCCCAGGTCTGACCCAGCTCCACATCGGACAGCGTAGACTGGCGCTGGGATTTGGCAATCAGCTTCTCGCACAGAGGTTGCGCGAGTTGGTGGAGCGCGCGCAGATTGTCGGCGACCGACGTTCTGGCGAGATTGGCAATGGTGATGAGCTGGTCCGAGTAGACATCGCGATCCTTGGCAGTCACCTCTTCGACTTCCGACACGTCGTCTTCGCCGTTGACGATCGAGGCGGCCTCCAGACGACCTGTGACGTAAGGAGCGAACACTTGGTCACGAATGCTGCCGTAGACGGCTCTGGCAAAGACTTGGACCTCGGTGTCCTGGGCGTGAGCAGCGTCGTGCTGTCGCAGAGTTGAAGTCAATGTCTGCCAGCACTGCAAGAGGACGTCGACAGTGTCTTCGGTGAGCACCGCGAGGTCGTCCTCCTCGTCCGTGTCGGTAGGTCGGTGGAATGCGAGACCAAAGATGGCCTTGCCGAGAGTGGCGAGCGACGAAATGAAAGAGAGGCAAGCTTGAGCGCCTGCGCCGCTTTGATGGAGCGACGCGGCCAGGATCTGGACGGGAACGACCGAGAAGATGATCTGGAAGGCTTGAGCCAGGAAGAGCATGGAGTTGCCGCGCGCGGACAAGAGCTGTGAGGGCGACGCGCACTCTTCTTCGACCAAGGATTGGAGGGTGGCGCAGATGTGCTTGGTGCGGGACACGAGCGTAGGCACATGTTGGGGCTTTTGAGCCTGAGGGATGAAGCTGCAAGTGGATAAGATGCACTGACGCAGTCGGTGGATCGAGAAGGAAATGTCGCGGCTGGCGACGCCATTTCTCTGCAAGCGCAGTCCAAAGCGGTAGGCTGTGGTGAGGAGGGAGACGACGTCGTCTGAGAGCAAGACGGGCACGAAGGCGTCCGAGACGTACTGCGGACGCAGCGCCTTTTTGCCCTGCGATGTGGCTGAGCCGGACTGTTGCTCGTCGTCTTCGTCGACACCTGTGGCTAGTACGGAATCGTCTTGCTGAGAGCGCGATTGTTGCTGCCATGCAGCCGACGAGAAGGGGTCGAAGCGTGTGAAGGTCCATCCGAGGAGCTTCTCGGTGGTAGAGACGGCCTGGAAGAAGAGCGGATGGCGCCAGGAGCTGGAATCTGTGGTCGAAGCGTCCTCGGAGATGGTGTTGTAGAGGAGCTGGAAGACTGCCGTCATGAGTCCAGCCAGGACGTGATTCTGGATGAGCGCCTTGCACTGGCGGTGCTGGAGCAGGTTGAGCCCGACAGACGAGCCGGGCGCAACGGGTTTGGATGCCGATGCAGCATTCTGAGGTCGGTTGCGGTCGGAGCCGGACGAGGAGTCAAAGACGTCGTTGGCACTGGTGAGGATGGTTTCGTCCACGACAGCACGGACGAGACCGAGACCAGTGACGATGCGAGCGAGGGTGGCGGCCGACTCGGTAGGATCTGTAGGCCACGGCGACGGCAGCGAGAGGAGGCTTGCGAGCTGCGTGTTGAGGAGGCCGACGTGAGCGTCGATGACGGCGTCAAGGGCCGAGTTGGTTCCCGAGTGCTGGCCGACGTGCTGAGCGAGCTCGAGTCCCAGCAGACGCTTTTCGACAGCGATGGCGGTCTGGAATGCACGGGAGCGAAGATACTGCGGCCAAGTTGCGGAAGCGTCCGATGCAGACGAGGCGGAAGGAGCTGCCGACGACTGCTGGCTGCGAGAGACGCAAAAGTGAAGCAGAAAGTCGCGCAACGATGTGAGCGAGGCGACGCCCTGGCTGGGCTGATGCGCGCTCAACGAAGGAAGCACGGAGAGCACGGCGTTGAGCGACTGGAATAGCACGAGTGGATCCTGCGAGTGCTCCAGAGCAAAGCAGGCGTAGTCGAGTGCACCTTCGGACTGACGCAGGGCGAGGAAGGTGGCTTCGCCCTTGGCACGCAGCTGCGGGTCGGGACTGGTGAACTCGGCCGAAGCCTGGTGGATCGAAGCGAGAGCCTCTTGCAAGTGAGCGTTTGGCGCGACGAGCGACATGATGACCGTTTTTGCAGCCGCCTCTTCCTCTTCCGCCACGATGCCGCGATGTGACGAGAAGAGCAGGTGCTGGCGGCAGATCCGATTCGGCACTGGCGTCGACTCTCGAACGTGAGAAGGCCGCTACGACCCGAGCGAGTAGCGAGTGACAGCAGAGACGGATGAGCCGATGTCTGCCTCTGTCTTTTCCCTCTCGATCCGCTCTTCCTCACGTCGTCCGCAGCGTTGATGATGCGGCCCGAACGCTCGATGTGATTTGTGACTGGTGTGATTTGGAAGAATCCGCAGGTTGGGTGAGCGGGTGCAAAGCAAAGAGCGGCGTCCTCCTCGGCAAAATCACACAAATCTCGGATTCTTCCTGGCCCGATTTCCGCGCATCTTGGATCGCCACGACAGGGCTTTGAGCTCAGCCAGCCTCAAGATCGAGCCACAGAAAGATTTTGTTGTGTGTCTCGGCGTGCGAGGCAGGGCGTTCAAGGTGCGGGTGGATGCGCGATTCCCGTCTTGCTTCATCTCCACAACGCCAATCCTCACCTCTTCCGTGCCTTGCTCGCCAACAACGTGCTTGCAATCGCATCTATCTCATCCATCCGCCCGTCGCTCGTCCACTCTCGTATCTGCGCCCAACCATTGCGGTCTCGCGCAAAATCCGACAGCTGAGCAAGCGCGCTGAGAACGTCACAACGTCCGCCCGCATCGCATCGCACAAGTTTTTGGCTCGGCCTCTCCCATCCATCCACCTTCCTTTCCGTCTCGGATCCTTGGTTCGAGTCTCCTGAGACTTTCGCAGCTCTCTTGAGGCCTTCGGGTGCTTCCGTGCCGCCCACTTCGCCCGTTCTCGGCTGAGCCGTTGAGCTTCTGAGCCGCTGAGCCTTTGAGACGCGCCCCCCGCCTCTTTGAGCTCGCCTTTCGCTGCTGTCTCGGCATCCGCAGCCAACGCTGCTCCTCCCTTGAAGCGCGCAACGTCGCAACCTCGTCTACGCTTCGCCTCGGTTCGGCTCCGCTCGGCTCAGCAACTAGCTCCTCGCTGTCTTGAGTCATCATGAACCGCCATCATCCCTACGGTGGCTACGATGAGAGGCCCGCTCGCGGCGGCCGCAGTGTCGGCGGCGGCGGCGCCGCTCCCTCGATGCGTGGAGGCCCTCCCCCTCCTGGACCCGGTGGCATGAGCTCACCACCTTCAGGCTACCCTTCCGCTCAAGACGCTTACGGCCCTTCCGCGGCTGGCGGCAGTGACGCGACTTCTGCCTATCAGCCCCAGGGTGCGTATTCTGCCTCAAATGAGTTTGCCGGTGGCCCGGATAGACACTACCAGATGCCCATGAGCGGTGGTCCTCAGCGCGGCGGCATGGCGGCAAGAGGCGCACACGCTTCTGCTCCGCGTCCTCCTCCTCCCCATGCGCCGCCGGCCTACGGATACACGCCTTCTTCGTTTGACAACGCCCCCTACAACGCTGCGAACGCATACGATCCCTCCGGCGCACCTCCATCATCTTATCCCGGTCCGCCGCCGGCCAACCAGCCGCCTTACGGACAGCCTGCGCAAGGTTACCAGCAAGACTACAATGGTCCACCCAGTGGGCCGCCCCCACCGGCTGGCTTCGATGGCCCCAGCTATGGTGCGCCGCCTCCTATGCACGGCCAATTCCGCCCAGGCCCCCCATCTGGTCCGTACGGCCGTCCGCGTCCTCCTATGCCTCCTGCTGGCGGCAACTTTGGCTTCCGTGGCGGTCGTGGCGGCGGACGTGGTGGTCGCGGTGGCGGTTTCGGCGGCGGAGGTGGCAGAGGAGGCTTCGACGAGGACGAAAAGCCTTGCCGTACGCTCTTTGTTCGCAGCATTCAGTTCGAGATCGACTCCCAGTTCGTCAAGCGCGAGTTCGAAAAGTTCGGCCAGATCAAGACCTTCTTCGACATGGTCAACAAGCGCGGTATCGCCTTTGTCACCTACTACGATCTCCGATCGGCGCGCGACGCCATGCTCGCCATGAAGGGCGCTCCTTTGGGCGGCCGTCCGATCAACATCCACTACTCGCTTCCCCGCGAGGAGGACAAGGCGCAGCGATGCGATCGCGACAAGAACCAGGGAACCCTCTTTTCCGTTTTGAAGAACGCTCAGCAGGATCTCACAGATGACGCCATTCGTCAGGCCTTTGCGGAGTTCGGCGATATCAAGAAGATCCGCGACTATCCTGGTCAGAAGAACAGCCGCTTCGTCGAGTACTTTGACAGCCGTGCTTGCCAGCTTGCACACGACCGTCTCAACGGCCAATCGTTCCTCGACGGCCAGTGGGATCTCAAGTTCGCCTGGGATCTCGTCACCGAGGACGATTTCGAATGGGCTCAGGCCGGGCCACAAGATGCTCAGCCCAGCTGGGGCCAGTCGGCGCCGCCTGCTCACCAGCCTCCTGCGCAGCAACCCGGCGCTGCTGGCGGCTATCCTGGCGGCGCTGGCCCAGGCGGTCTCGGCCACGGACGCGCCCCCGTTCCGCCCACTGGTCCTCCGGTCGACAACGGCTGGGGTAGGCGTGCGGGTTCCGGTTCTGCCCCGCCTCCCGCCGCAGCGCCCGCCCAAGTTCCGGGATCGCCACCGCCCGCAGGAGATGCGAACCGCCTGGAACAGGCTCAGAAGGTGCAGCAGCTGCTGGCTTCGCTCGGCGCGGCCGCCAAGCCTGCACCTGCTGCGTCCTCGACCCCGCCGGCTCCTGCGGCATCGAGTCCAGGGGCGGTGCACAGCCCACCTCCTGCACCCTCGGCGGCAACTGGCGCCCCTGCCCTGCCTGCCAACATTGCTGCTCTGCTCCAGTCCGCCGCCGGCGCACCTAAGCCCATGCAGCCGCCCAAGCCTCAGTCGCCTCCGGGTGTTGGCGGCTCCGCTGCGGGTCAGGACAATGGACAGCAGTCGATGCAGCAGCTCCTCAGCATGCTCAACCAGAACCGCCCACCTCGTCCATCCTGAGCCCACTCGCGCCTTCATTTGTGCTCGCCCAGCCCCCCCCCCCCCCCCCCCCCCCCCCCCCCCCCCCCCC